GGCACTTCAATCAGATCCGAAAGCTTGGAGATCAATGGCAGAAAGTCGTAGATAATGATGGGTTATATTAGGCGTGTGAAAAAGTAATCCACGTTTTTAAAGTTTAAATATAAAAGACCATAAGTTTCGTTAACCCATTCGAAACCGAAGCGTTTTTTTCTTTTTTTCGTCTGCGGACCAAGCCCTTTTTTGACATTTTGACTCCGAAGCAGTTTATCCAGATGGTTGGAAAGATTTAAGAAAGTCTCCTACACCATTTATTTTTGATGAAGAACGCTTTGGATTTGACTTCAGCACTTTTCAAGATCCTATCGATTATTATTCTTATTTTATCGACGACAAATTAATCAATATGTTAGTAGGCGAATCTAATAAACATGAAAAAAGGAAAACAAACTGGCAGGATTTCGATGCAAAATCTTTCAAACTCTTCCTGGCTCTGTATCTTCAAATGGGAATCGTCAAATTACCGAGGATTCGTGACTACTGGAGTAGCAGGCCTGGATTAGGAGGATTTTTCCACATGTCCCACATTATGTCAAGAGCAAAATTTGAATCTATTCTTCGAAACCTGCGCTTTTGTGATAATGAACTGGATCTTGCAGGAGATCGGCTTTATAAGATTAGAGCTTTTTTGGAACATTTCAATGCAAAACCAGAGGCTGCATTGATTCCGGGTAAAGATGACACATCTTTTTTTTGCCCACGTAATTTGTAGATCTGTTATAATTGGAATATAATGCTAAAAACAGCAAAAAAAACCAATTAATTGAATGAAAATAGCTCAATTAGCGCTGCAGCGAATAATCGCTCAGGAACGGACGTTCCTGAGTTTTTGCTGCAGCGATTATTCGCTGCAGAAGTTTCGAATGGGTTAAAATAATTTTTATTCAACGAAGTAATCACCATTCGAAAGAACAACCTTTTGCCAACGTTCTACAAGTAAAGACATTCCACGATAATAAAAATCTTGGTCCTTAGAGGCGAAGAAAAGATCAACCTCGGTTTTGACATCTTCTTCGGAATTGAACCGTTTATTGGCCAAAAAGTTAGACAGAGACAAAAATAAATAATAATCAGATGGAGAAAGGTCTGGACTATAAGGTGGATGTGGTAAGACCTCCCATCCAACACTCTGGATTTTTTGTCGAGTCTGTAAAGAGACATGTGGTCGCGCGTTATCGTTCATGCGGTATCCATTTGTCCAACTTTTTGATAAAATTCATGGCATTCAAGCGTTTCCTTACGGTTGACCCATCACAATTTAATGTAAGGCCTATTTCTGAAGAGGTTGAACGAGGGTTTTCGAGAAGACAGCGTCTTATTTGGTCATCAGATAAAAATAAAAAACGTGGATTACTTTTTCACACACCTAATATTAGTAAAAAAGTGATTTCTATATTTTTTTGAACGGGAAAGGTATCAATCGACGTAAAAAAGCATCCTGATTCCAAATATAAAACTTTTTTGGAGGGTTTCTGTTTTGTGGGAGGATTGTTACACACCCATAATGAATGAAACAAAAGAATCGATGCAAATCCGCGCGAAAAAGTGATTTCTATATTTTTTTTTTGAACGGGAAAGGTACCAAGCGAAAGAGAATTTTTCTAGGAAAAAACTACGAATTCCTTCAAAAACCTCATTTGAAAACGAGCCATCAAATCATCCTTCATTTTTTTTCATTCGTTTAATTCTTCGCGATGGACGCCTACGTCGCAAAGAGTGTTTGTCACTCAAAGCTTCTCTTCATTCAGAAAAATTTGAAGAGGACGACGCCAAATTAGTTCATGAGGAAGCAAAAAAATAGATGAGGTTGAAAGAAATGAATGAATGAAATAAATGAAATTAATAAAATGAGTGGAATCTTTTTGATGTTACTAAATTTATCCTCACTTTTAGTACTGAGCGTTTTGAGGAGGGGATGTAACGTCGTTTATCATTTAGAATAAAACCCCAGAAGACTTTCGGTCTTTGTTATAGATCCGTGGTTTCTCTCCACTTAATAGCATGCCCCAGCTACCGTACCCCGCCGTCGAACCGATAAAGCGAGTATATAAGGCTGCCCAGTTCATTTTGAGGAGGTAATGTAACGTCGTTTATCGTTTAGAATAAAACTACAGAAGACTTTCTGTCTTTTTTAGAAATCCGTGGCTTCTATTCACTTAATAGCATTCCCCAGCTACCGTACCCCGCCGTTGTAACGACAAAACGAGTATATAAGGCTGCCCAGTTCATTTTTCACTGTAAAAATCAATGTAAAAAGCAAAAATTAGTCATAAATTTGATTATTTTATGTTTTCAAAGTATATCTTATTTATTACTTAAATTACTGTAAGAAAGTTGGGTTCTTCTCGGAAATGCGATCTTTTCAAAAAAAATCCGGGTTTTTCACCATTATAGTCTCCAACAGTGATATTGAAAACGTTTGGTGATTGTTTTTTACCTTATTGCAAAATAAAATAGCATAAAACTATTAAAATAATCAAATTTATGACTATATTTTTCATTGTTACAGTGAAAAATGAACTGGGCAGCCTTATATATTTGCCTTGTTAGCGCGACGGCGTACGGTAGCTAGGGAGCGCTATTAAGTGGAGAGAATCTCTGGAAAAGAACAGAATTCTGCAGAAACTACGCCAGCATTTCTACTTTAGCCTAAGTTTTTCAAGTAAGAATTTATCTGAAAGCTGCTTTGCAAAGGAGCAAAGGAATTGTGGAATTTGGTAGGTAGCAACTTCTGCAAGTAAGTAGATCAACTTTGACTCAATTTTTCTATATATTCTTACAAGTTAGTGTACAAAACAAATTCCACTTCTCTTAAGCCAAATTTGATGAGGATTCTTTTAAAACCAACTGTAAGTCGAACCAACGTCTGTACGTCAAGTTATAAACCGTCAAAGTTGATCGACTTCTGCAGGTAAGTAGATCAACTTTGACTCAATTTTTCTATATATTCTTACAAGTTAATGCACAAAACAAATTCCACTTCTCTTAAGCCAAATTTGATGAGGATTCTTTTAAAACTAACTGTAAGTCGAACCAACGTCTGTACGTCAAGTTATAAACCGTCAAAGTTGATCGACTTCTGCAGGTAAGTAGATCAACTTTGACTCAATTTTTCTATATATTCTTACAAGTTAATGCACAAAACAAATTCCACTTCTCTTAAGCCAAATTCGAATTTCTACAAGCGACTCTACGATGCTCTACAATTCTAGAATCGGTTCTACAATGTTCTACAATCCTACAATGCATGTAATGTATATTTAAAGTGTTTAGCTTCACCACTAAAGGCTTAGCTAAGCTGGTATTGAATTTGGTACAAAAATGTTATTTTTGGTATTGAGTTAGCTTAGAGACATCAGAATGCTGTACTGAATTGAGTCAGGAGGGCAACAAATGGCAACAAATGGCAACAAATGGCAACAAATGGCAACAAATGGCAACAAATGGCAACAAATGGCAACAAATGGCAAACAACAAATGGCTCAATTCAAAACAACCACTGAATCTTTAATAACAACAATGGAAAAAGTTAGTTTTAATAGAGTAATTGCGTAAAACACAAATTAGTTGGCTACAATGGTTGAAACAGAAAAACTCCGAGCTTAGACTAGCAGTAATCAGTAAACAGCAGTAAATCAAACCTAAACAAAAAGAAAGTCTTACGGTCAATCAAAAACTAAAACACATTGTTGAACACATTCTTGTCAATATGATGTTTTAGACCAACCCTTTTACCAACCAACGACTTTTATATTCCCCTTTCTGAAAGCTTTTCTTTTCAACAAAAACTCGAGAGAAATGCTCTTGACATCAGTCCATCTAATTAGCTGTTGTTGACCCAGAGATACCAAAAAAGGAGTTGCTAAAGGAGTAGAATCGAAGAATTTTTCTCCATCTCTTTCTGGGTGGCTTCAGAGATGAATTCGTTGTATGAAATCGAGAGAGAATGATGTCAAATTTTGAGAGTAAACGAAGGATTTACATACGAATTTCGAGACAAAAATAGATTGATGGTTATTTTTGGATTTGACGTGACACATGGTTAAAAAAAACCTTTGCAAATCAGCTTAACTTTGAGGATTTTAGCCAGTTTTGATCAAGAAGAACCATTTGCGACCAGAAGCAGCATCTTCCGTGATCGAGTTTTCCTCTTCTTCTTCATTTGCCCATTGAGGAAATGCCCACGCGAAATCCGGTAGCTAGACAGTAGCTAGACATTTTTAACTTCTTATGAACAATTCTTCTGACACTTATTGGGCCAATTTTCAGAGCCACTGCCATTTTTCCCATCGATCGTAACGGGTTTCGCCTAATTTGACAGCGCACCTTTTTGACCTTTTCTGGTGTTGTTGCAGTTGGTGACCGACCGCTTCTTGCTCTATCTTTTTCATTTCCCAACTCATTGAATCGTTTTATTGCATCATAGACCGTCATTTTTGGAAATCCTGTGATACGAACGATTTCCATCGCTTTCTTTCTGCAAATTGTAAGAAAGAAGAGATTAAGCTGTAAACTGTACGAAAGAAGACATTGAGCTGTAAATTTTTACCCGGGGGTTTTCGGGATCGGAGAATCAATTGGGCTGTTCGTTTTATTGAGTTGACCAATTAGTTGACCAATTAGTTGACCAAAACCCGGATTTAGTTGACGTTATGGATCTTCAAAGCTTAACTACTCATTCAAAAGTCGTCTCGAAGTTTCAAAGAAAATTTGTACTCAGAGATTTTCGGGGTCGGGGAATCGATTGGCGCTGTTCATAAGACTCATGATTTTATTCAACAAAATCAATTTAGATAAAAAGCAAATGATACACAAGAGTCACGATTCTTCAAGGTTTATGAGGTACCCTTAAAAATTGAAAGCAGAATTTTCGAATCAGATATCTCAAATAGGAAGTTCGAAAGCAAAAGACGGAGATCACAGTTGAGCTGTCCACAGTTGGATAAGTAATAAACACAAAAAAGAAAGAAAATGTGAAAAAATGTTAAAATTCAGTCTCGATCCCAATTCTCTCCACCCGCCATATACCAAGGACGCCAGCGGCGAATCGGAGCGAATTCTGGAATGTTAACTGAGGTACAAGATTGATTAGCTTTTATTATCACTTACCGTAAGTGACCGGGGGTTTTCGATTATGCAGGCTCGATTTCAATTTCTATTCATAAAACTTTAAATTCATAATTTGAATCCTAGCTCACTTAGCCAATCTCCTAGCTAATTCTAGCCGCATTTCTATTATATTGAAGTTTTTATACCGTAAATACTGTAATAGTACCCCACCCCCTCGTACAGTCGCGTAGTCGCAAAAGTTTTTTAGTATTTCATTGTTTTCAAAGCGCTCGTACTTTCAAAAAATGCGTCTTTGGCATCAAAAAATAGCTCTGAATTTCAGCTATTTTTTGATATCTAAGCGCGCATTGTAGCATAAACCAGTGTCGAGAAAAACTCGTTCAAAGCTAGACTAAAGTGTCGCTACGCAGCACTCCGCACCGCATTGGAACCGTATTGGAACCGTATTGGATCTAAAAAGAACCGTATTGGAACCGTATTGGATCTAAAAAGAACCGTATTGGAACCGTATTGGATCTAAAAAGAAGCGTATTGGAACCGTATTGGAACTACGCAACACTCCGCACCGTCATTATTGGAGTGGGGTACTATTACAGTATTTACGGTATTCACTTTCTTTAGACTGTATTTTTTATTTACACGCACGTTTATTGCTATTCCTGTATGAGATGGTTGGAAGTAGAAGAGGCGAAAAAGTCGTCGTCGTTGTTGTCGTTGTTTCAGAGCTTGTCTTTGTCGGATCACCACCAAATTGGAAAAATGATTCTAATCCTAAACTCTTACAAATTTAAAAAGCAATAAGGGTGTAGATTGGATGATTAATTAATTAATTAATGATTAATTCAATCTACACCCTTATTAAACCAAGTTAAAACCATGACCAATACACTAACCGCCAGGGAGTTTAGCTGGTAACCACGATTTCAATAAAGTAATCACTTTCACCGATCTTGATGTGGTCGCTTCTAAAGTTAACCATTTTATTAACTTTCAGAGAAAACGAAACCTTCAGTTATAGCTGGCTCAGCATTTAACTCTTGTTTCCGGTTGTTCGGCTTTGTCCAAACGAGCAGACTTGGACTACCTGCATTCACTGACTTGTTACAAGACATAAGGTAGCTTACCATTAGCCGAGTCGGCACTAGCTGGTGAAATCATTGGCAATTCAGTGGGATTTGAATAGATCGGCTCAAAATATGTAGTCGGTTCTTTTGTGGTCGTGATTGGCGGGGAAAATGATGGGATATCAATAGATCTAGGGGCAGGCGCAACTCCGAAAACGATGTTTGTAGCGTTGGCAATTCGATTGGTGAAGGCTGGTTTCTAAAGTTTATAGACATAGACGTTTACAGACGTTTACCCGATTAGCCTAGGCTTTTAGCTATTAGAAATGAATAGATAAAAGAACAATAAGAGCTAATAAATAGAGCTAAGAATAAGTTAAGAATGAAGGTATTTCGGGAGTACCTGAATGAGCATGAGCTTGAGAATGAAATGTAGGCTTCTATTGTCAATAGTCAATAGTTTAAATGGAATCTACTCAAGTTGGCCAACAAGAAAAACTTTGCATCGATCAACAAATTAAAGCTCACTTATTTGAATAATAAATGGAAAACAATTGGAAACTGGAATAACTCTTGTAGGTATTAAGTAAATCTATAAAGTAAATGAATGAAATGATCCATTTTTTGCTCCTAATGCTGGTTTAGCTGTATTATTTGAAGTTGGAGCTGAACCAAGCCATTATTCTCTCTAGTTTTATAAACCTTTCCTATGGCTCCAACTTGCTAGAGCCTCAAATCAAAGAAATCTTGTTTAGATACCTTAGTTTAAAATGATCTATTAGACTGTCCAGAAACACTTTTCGTTCCTTTTCATACTTCCGTTTAAAAACAACAAATTCATCAATTAACCTACGGTTTGCTTTAAATAAAATGTGTTTTTTGTTTAATTTCCCATCTTTTTAAATCAATTTTGCCTCACTTTCAAGCAAATTCGAGAGTGAAAATGTGTTTTTCGCGTGTTTTTTGTCAAAAATCTATAAAAACCTCTACAAAGAAATTGGCTGGATCAATTTCTCTGAAAATTTGTCTATAGATCGAACTTTTTATGCTCTATCTTTTATCTATTGACACCAAGATAGGTTTCCTTAGCCAAAGTGTGTCTTTTCTAAAGGTAAAGTGTTCGCATCATCGACCCGTCGCCCTTTTTTGACTATCCGACTTCATGCTCTCAAAAAAAACCAGACATAAGCCATTTTAAATCCATTTTAATGTTATTTTGCAGAAAAATAATTGACCTGTCTAATCAAAAAAACGTAGTTTGATTGGTGTATTTGTTGGTTTTAAAGGGCGGTACGAAAAGGAATGAAAAGACTTTCTGAACAGCCTAATATAAGCCGTTTTCGCTCTCGAATTTACTTGAAAGTGAACCGAACTTTACTTAAAAAGATGGGAAATTGACCAATAAACACTTTTGATTTAAAGCAAACAATTGGTTAATTGGTGAATTTGTTATTTTCCAGCGCAAGTGCGAAAAGGAATGAAAAGACTCTCTGGACAGCCTAATATTAACAAGGGAATGACCAGATCTGGCGGTAGGGTCTGACGCGAAAACCAAAACAAAACGGCTATCGACTACGCTGAACACGATGGTGAAATCCGTTTTTGTGAATGAGCAATGGTTTTTTGCAAACACACTTTAAATTTTAAGCCATTTTTCGATTTTTCCGATTTCAGGAGTAAAGCTCTTAAAATCTAGATTGTATTTGCCAAAAAAACTATTGCTCATTCGCAAAACAGATTTTACCATCGTTTTCAGCGTAGTCGACAGGTGTTTTGTCTTGATTTTTGGGTCAGATCCTACCGCCAGATCTGGACGTCAAATCTGGACGCCAGATCGTCTTTTTAAGCTTGAACATTCATTAAATCTTATTCATTGAAGTAAAGACAAATCTGGTCCCACCTTAACTCTCTTTTTCAACAACATGGCTTTCTTTGGATCGGTTTTCGCTGTTTGAACAATCAGATAAGATGTGGTTGTTGTCGGTGATTGAGTGGTTGTCGTTGTAGTGGTCGTCTCCATGATCACCTCTTCTGGCTCAATCTCGCAAAGCACTGGGAACGCTGGGTCAAAGACTGTATTTTGCAGATCCTTAACACTTCTTATTCGTCTAAGACTTAAAACTCTTTAACCCTGTAGAAAACAGCCGCCTCCTCGCCACACTTTTGCTCAACATCGTTCAAAGTGCAGACATTTTGCTCAGATATCCACGTTTTCATCAAACAAATGAAATTGGTCGGTTGTTGTTGGCACAATCTTCTGAAAATACTCTTGTAGCTAGCTTGATCTAATAATCTAATAATCTAATAGCTTTTATGTAATGGAGTGTACTGTATGTACTGTATGCACTGTATGTACTGTATGTACTGTATTGTATGTACTGTATGTACTGTACTGTATGTATTATACTGTATGTACTTCTCACACCTGCATGAACCCAATTGAAGCTGATACGGAGTTTCGTGAACCTCGCAACCAGTCGTTGCAGGCAACGAGAGCACAGAACGAACGCATTCTTGGTGTTGGATCAATTGTCTAAGAACTTCCTTGTTTGAGCAAGTATTTTAACAAACCGTTGTCGATAAAGGGAGAATGGAGAGCAAAGGAACATCAACATTTTACCGACTTCGTTCAGAACTCTTCTTTGTCGATCATCTCCACACTCTAAGATTTTCTCTCGGAAACAGGGTAGAGTTGAGCCATAGACTCTGAATTGAAAATCTTTCTATCATACTGTCAAAATTGAGATAAACCTATCGAAAGACTTAAAATTTGTTTATCTAAACAAAATAAGACGAAATCTACTATATATAAAAGAGTATGTCTGTCCGTTCGTCTGTCTGTCTGTAAGGGTTTTTTCTCAACCGTTTTTGGGTCAAAAAAACTGAAATTTTTTAAAAAGTCGCAAAATCTTCTTCCTCTACCTAATCTTCTAATCTTCTAATTCTAAGATCTTCTTCTTCTCTATCTTCTTCTTCTCTATCTATCAACATCTTCTATCTATTAACATCTTCTATCTATCTAATATATATAGCGCCGTTAGTCTGTCCGTCTGTCTGTCCGTCTGTCTGTCCGAGAGTCTCTCAGATAGCTGTTCTAGAAACCGATAACCGAACGGTCAAACATGAACATGCCGTTTGTATTGAGGTCTTTTATTCGGAAATTGAGCTAGCTAGCTTTTATTCTTTTTACCCTAAAAGGCTTAAACCCCCATTTCAGGGTAAAAAAATTCGCTGATTCCGAAACTGAAGTCCGTTTGCAACAAACGTCATTTCCCGCCGAGTTATTCGCCTTCAAAAATTTAGAACAGTTTTCAATTTGCATTTCACGCCAAATTTGCATTTAAGAGGAGAATTTAATGCAAATTTTAGCAAAGCGTACCAGATGCCCAATAGACTTGTTTATCGATATTATCGATAACGGCAAGCTCATGTTTAACCGTTTAGATCTTGGTTTCTAGAACAGCTATCAATCTGCAAATTGTTTCAGTGGAAAGCCGAGAATGTCAGCTTTTGATTGTTATTTTATATATAGTAAATTCTCGTAGGTGAGTGCCTTAAAAAGCTTATAATACTTATTGATACTCAAATGTCGATAAGCTTATCGATAATTGATACTTTCGATATCGATCGATAAGTATCGATAAGATTTATGAGGTGCTTACTCATTAAAAGTCGCTATGTATAAAATAGCAATCAAAAGCTGATATTCTTGACTTTCCAATGAAACAATTTGCAGATTGATAGCTGTTCTAGAAACCGAGATCCGAACGGTTAAACATGCCGTTTGTATCGATAATATCGATAAGCAAGTCTAATACCCAGCTGGTATCATATAGTTGCAAAATTTAGGATAAAAAATTAAATTGAGTGGGACTACGGGGGGTCGAACTCGGCTCGTGTAGGCTGTAGACAAGCGCTGTCTTGACTGCGCTCCTGACTGCTCCTGACTGCGCTCCAAGCGCTCTCCTGACTCCTGAACGCTTATCCGTTCCCCCCAGGACATCTAGTCAGAAAAACCCGCTTAACGGCCATTTTCGGCTGGTAAAGAAATAGAGAAATTGCACCTAGGTCCTTCATTTTCTCCTAGATCCTCCATCCTTCGAATTCTTCACTTTACTGTTATCGACACCCCTTCTCAGCTCTTCCGCATATCTGTCGTCTATCTATCTACAGAAAGCCTTGACAGTTTGTTCATTCCCAAACAGGAGCTCAGTCTTTCCTCCCTTAACCCCTTTTCTCTAAAGAATTGTATCGCCTTCTCCCTTTTGAGGTGACCGCGTTGAGCGGCTCGCTGTACTGTGTAAATATCAGCGTTCTGTTCAACCGTTCTTTTGCTTTTTCTAGGGTTCCTTTCTGGAAACAACTTGGAAACCTTCAAGATTATCATGTTCACTTTGAGAATAAAGTTCCACTTTACTAACTGTCCAAAATTGAAAGTTAGATTGTTAGATTAGATTGTAGTTAGATTGTAGTTAGATTAGATTGTACAAAACGAACAAAAATTCTCAAAGCACAAGACTACAGTCTACTACAGACTACAGTCTACTACAGACTACAGCCTTATGAACAGCTAACCACTACAGTCTTTCACTTTGTTGGAGTCATAGTGTTGTAAATTGAAAATTCTCTTAAGAAGAGCATTAAGCGCTTCTAAAGAGCAACACACTCAATTAGGAAATGAGCGCAAACAATGAAATGGAGTTGTTTGCTCGGAATCTTGAAAAATGTAAAAGATCCTCTTGTTTGTAGATTTAGTGTTTAGAAGACCTTGTACAAACTAAAAACCGATAGAGTGATTCTATGATAAAACAAGAATCACGTCTAATGCGGATAACAACTTCAGTACAAGTACTATATTGATTCTAATAAAAGCCCAGCTCCCAATAGAAGTGCAGCCTTCAATAGAAGTGCAGCCTCCAATAGAAACGCAGCTCCCAATAGAAGCGTAGCTTCCAATAGAAACGCAGCTTCCAATAGAAACGCAGCCTCCAATAGAAACGCAGCTTCCAATAGAAACGCAGCCTCCAATAGAAACCCAGCCTCCAATAGAAGCAATTTTGTGGTGGTGATTGAAAAATAGAAGCGCATGCACTTCTATTAGAGTAAATACTTTATGTCACTCCTCTCAACAACAAATACCAAAACGTAATGATTAGAAGCTGTTTTGTAAACTTGTTCTTTTAAAACCCACTTGCAAGTATGCAACAATCTTGCTTCAGTTCCAATATTGAACACAACGTTGACCATATTCCTCTCAAAAGGAACTCTTTGAGCTTTCAATCGAAGCACACAACCCAGAAAAACATGGTCCGGACAAGTGCTGCTTACACTATCAAATAAGAATATTAGAATCCCAAGAAAGAGAGGTGACATGATGGATTACTGTAGAAACTGGTAAACCGTTTCTTTTGAATGAGTATCGTTGGGTCCTTTCAGTCGGGTCGAGTCACGCCAATGTGCATTCCCTTTTTGGGGGTGAAGGGAGGAGACAGTTCCCTTAAGGGGTAACAAAAAAGGGGCGGAACCTTTCATCACTCACTCTTTTCTTTTCCTCTTTCCCTTTCATCTTCCGATCACTTTCACCAACAACAAACAGGATTTCTTGACTTGCTTCCTTTTTTTGATAGAGACCATTTATTGGTCTTGAGATCAATCTTGTTTAAAAGATGACTGGGTTTAAACAGAGTGCAATTTTTTTAAATGTTTGCATCTGTTTTGCAAGATTTGTTTGGATTTGTTGTTTGGATTTGTTGTTTGTTTGTTTGTTTGTTTTCTGAAGATTGCCAACTTCTTATTTTAATCAGAATTGCTTGTAAATGTGAATTTTTCAATCCCCAATTTTTCACAAATATTGATATCAACAAAAAATATGGAGCTAATAGAACTTTGGCTCAAAAGAATATCAAAACTGAGTTGACTGGAATGATCGAAAAGCTTCTTCATGATTTCATATCAAATAAAAAAGTTGCCTGGTTGTTATTAGCTTAAGTTTATCACTTTTAATTCTAACCAAATAGAAATTAGATAGCTGCTCTGGTGAAGAAGGATTACATGGATTAGCCATACATGAATTAGCCATTCCATATGCATTGAGGTAATGTGAATCAAATAAAAAGTTGCCTGGTTGTTATTAGCTTAAGTTTATCACTTTCTAACTTTCACTTTTAATTCTAACCAAATAGAAATTAGATAGCTGCTCTGGTGAAGAAGGATTACATGGACTAGCCATAAATAGATTAGCCATACATGAATTAGCCATTCCATATGCATTGAGGTAATGTGAATCAAAAAAAAATGTTGTAAGCCTCATCAATTCACAGCCAAATCACTGGTTTCTGGTTTTTGTCTTGTTATTCAACACAAAACTCAAATATTTTATTGAGATCTGTGTACATTTGAATAATACTGGCAATAGATTTCGTTTTCTATTCTTGTTTCTCGTCGTCGACCACCAAGAAAAGCTTTTGACAGAAAGTGGTCATCCCATCTGAAATCAATGCTTTATTTGTATTTATTTGATTCAAAGAAATTGCAATCAAGTAAACGTCATTTGAAAGTTTACATCTGTTTTGTCTAGAGTGTAATTAGTAAGTAATTACTCTCGAGTAAGTAACTATTCGAGTAAAATTTGCATAAGTAATTTTTACTCGATTAATCGACGTTTTTTTGGTCGAGTAACTACGAGTAATCCTCTTTACACGTCGAGTAACTACGAGTAATCCTCTTTACACGTCGAGTAACTACGAGTAATCCCCTTTATACGTCGAGTAACTACGAGTAATTCTCTTTACACGTCGAGTAATTACGAGTAATCCTCTTTACACGTCGAGTAACTACGAGTAATCCTCTTTACACGTCGAGTAACTACGAGTAATCCTCTTTACACGTCGAGTAATTACGAGTAATCCTCTTTACACGTCGAGTAACTACGAGTAATCCTCTTTACACGTCGAGTAATTACGAGTAATCCTCTTTACACGTCGAGTAAATTGAATATCTTTACATGTGAAGGGAATTTACCACCAAATCAGTTAAACAAATGAATATCTTTAAAAAGAGTCGTATATAAGCCGTCGCTCGTGAATTTTTGGCGCCAATTTTTTGCAATAATTGTTGCAGAAAGTAGGGTAATTTTCCTAAGTAAAGAAAAGTCCTAAGTATGCGTTTTAAAAGACGCATTACTCGTGCGGAAAACACTCTAGTTTTGTCTGTTCTACCTGTCAATGTTTGGAAGAACTTCGGCTTACTCTTCCAAGCAAGGAATATCAAATAAACGGGCACACCAGAAAGCATGATAAGAATACCGATAGCTGAATGGATAATGGTTGATGATGATAAACTTGGCTAGTACCTGTTTCTTTTGGATCAGCGATGATTGGTAAAACGACGAGAGCACAACATCCAAAAAGAAAGACGATTGGGAAGAGGAGAGGCACCTAGAAGTATTGAATATTAAGTTGACCGATACTTTGGACACTTTTATATAAATCTTCTTAAAAATAACAAATTCCATCAATTGACCTACGGTTTACTCTAAGTAAAAGATGTTTATTGTTCGTTTTTATATTCTTTTAAACCAATCTGGGTTTGTTTCTAAGCAAACTTGAGTGCAGAGACTCGTTAATCGTAAAATTTGATCGTCAATTTGATCGTAAAATTCTACAAAGAAATTGATTGCATCAATTGCTCTGAAAATTTGGCTATATACCTAACTTTTTGTCCTCTTTCTTTTATCTATTGATGCCAACATAGATTTATTTGAAGGAAAGTGCCTAAATCGCGTCTTTGGGTTGTCGCCTATTTTGACTACCCGACTTTGCGCCGACATAAAAATCCAGAAACAAAACATTTTCATAAAATTTGAACGCTATTTTGTAGAAAAAAAGTAGGCCTTTCTAGTAGAGCAAACCGTAAATCAATCAGTAAATTCATTATTTCTAAATAACTTTTGTAAATGTAATGCCCAAAGACTTATTGGTCAACCTAATATTTTATTAGGCTGTTCAGTAAGGCTTTTTGCTCCTTTTCGTAATTCGGTTTAACACCAACAAATGCACTAATTAAACTACGGTTTGTTTCATTAGAAAGGCCAACTATTTTTCTGCAGAGCGTGAAGTCGGGTGGTCAAAAAGAGCGACGGCTTGATGATGTGGAGACTTTAGCTTTAAAAAAGACACACTTTAGGTAAGGAAACCTATCTTGGTGTCAATAGATAAAAGATAGAGCAGGAAAAGATTTGAATATAGTCAAATTTTCAGAGAAATTGATCCAGCCAATTTCTTTGTAGAGGTTTTTATAGATCTTGACAAAAAGCACGCTTTCACTCTCGAATTTGGTTGAAAGTGAAAAGGAAAACCGTGGACTTTCTGGATGGCCTAATATGTGTATTTTTAAGATTCAAATAATCAGATATAACAATAATTAGATTGAAGCCTTTTTTTGAAATGAAAACTTACCTTGATAGGCCGAGGAGCGTCCGGCATTGTTCGCCTGAACCACAACAATGCCACCATTGCAGCACCGATCGCAATCCAGTAAACGATTTGAATGTAGTTGATCAAAGAGAAAACATTATTCGATAAACCGAGATATAACAAAGACAAAAATCCCTAAAATTTGAGCAATTAAATGTCTATTCTAAAACTTCTTACAGTGAACAAAACGGCTGGGACAGGTGTGCGCGTCTGCTTGTTGATCATTGTGAGCACTCGGGGCATTTGGCCTTCTCGAGCACCGACATAGAACAATCTATAGATTATATGCTAATTTTATGCAAATTCTCTATCCAAATTTGTTCTTATCTGTGTTCTTATCTGCAATTGTACCTGGATGAGGTGAAAATCACTCCATTAGCTGATCCAATCGTCGAGAAAGCCACGAATATCGGCATGACGAAAGAGAATTTCCCATACATTTTCTCAGCAAACAACTGAAATGATTTACAATTATAAATTACAATTATAAATTTGAATTTCCATTGAATAGATTATCACAAAGCTTCTAAAACTTACAATAGCTACTGCTGGCGAGGCCAGCATCTCATCGGGAGAGACAACAGTGTACAAAGCGATATTCGTCAAAGTGTAAATGATTGTGCACAATGAGCAGGAAATAATGATGGCAAGGGGAAGGTTTCTGAAAAAGAATTGTTTTTGAAATATAAATTGAAATATTTCCGAAATTATTTCGATCTTTGGCTTTAATTAATCTTTGGCTTTTCAAAAGCTGCATTTCTTCTCTTCTAACGCTCACCTCTTTGGATTCTGCAACTCCTCAACGATGAAGTTCAAATAATTCCAACCTTGATATGCGAAAAGACCTAAAAAATACCTTAATTGATATGCGAAAAGACCTTAATTGGTTCGTAGAATATAGGAAACTAATGGAAAAATCTACATTATTGAAGTTAGAAAGTTATTTGAATAAAATAAAGAGATTTAAAAAGCTTAATTGGTTCGTAAAAGGTATGAAACTCATTTAAAAGCTTCATTATTGAAGTTATAATCTTCCTTATTGAAGTTACAATCTTCATTATTGAAGTTATAATCTTCATTATTGAAGTTACAATCTTCCTTATTGAAGTTACAATCTTCATTATTAAGTTACAATCTTCATTATTAAGTTACGAGCTTCATTATTGAAGTTACAATCTTCATCATTGAAGTTACAATCTTCTCTATTAAGTTACCTGAATAAAATGCCAGTGAAACAGCTTGTAAATCCTTCGCTGTCCCTTCCCAAATATTGTCGAAAGAGTCATAATACTTTGGGTTTCCTAAAAACAATTCTTTTCACTAACAAATTCAAACAACAATTCTTTTAGCTAAGTTTCTATTGATTTGAACACCCTTTCAGTCGATTCGAGTCAAGTCAGCGCCGGGATTCGAACCCTTGACCTCTCGCTTACCGGGCGAATGCTCATTTACCGAACCAACGCTCTACCAATGCTCATTTATCGAACCAACGCTCTACCAATGCTCATTTACCGAACCAACGCTCTACCAATGCTCATTTACCGAACCAACGCTCCTATACCGCACGTATCCCATTGCCAAAGCAAAACTCTATGCCTTACTGGTGTTTAAGTAACCCACCTGTACACAACAAGACCGCTCCGGTTCCAATAATACAGCAAAGAGCAAAGATTTTGGCTAGCGTGAAGAAATCCATAACAAAGGTGGCGATACGTACACTCAGAGCATTAATGGCAGTCAATACCACTGAAATTCAACAATTTCAAGAGATTTTAGTAAGAAATTGAGTGATTTGAGACTAAATGCAGCTTAATATTTGAATCGTAAGCAACTCACAAAGCAAAACTGCTGCCAGCAATTGAATCGTTCCATCTGGTGGAGGGCAATCGGGGAAGAATGGTCGGAGCATGTAAATGGCAAATGTGATTGCCACAATTGTAGCTGTGCATGGTCTAGAAGCTCAATTCTATTCTCATCACTTTACCAAAATCCCACCTCACAACAATTGCTTCAATCCATAGCCTCAAAAAAGCGAGAAATGGTCCAAAAGCCTCCATGATGTAAGCATAGTCGCCGCCGGATTTTCTGTAAGAAAATGTTAGTGAATATCATAATCTAGCCTGAATCTCATAAGCTAGACTAGAAACCGTAATCCGTAATTTAGGCTGAATATCATAATCTAGACTAAATATCCTAATCTAGACTAGATACCGTAATCCAGCTAATCTAGACTGAATATCATAATCTAGCCTGAGTCTCGTACACTAGACTAGACAAAGAACTAGACTAGATACCGTAATCCACTAATCTAGACTGAATATAGACTAGACGTAATCCACTAATCTAGACAATAAGTTCTTTGTAACTTTACCAATACTGTAAGTTAATTTATCTAATTTTAACTCACCGTATCAATGTGCCCAATTCTGCGTAACAATAAGCCCCGATAGCGGCAAAAAGTCCCGACGAAACCCACACCAAAAGCGAGACACCAACAGAGCCGGCTTCTAGAAAATTGTGTTTTAAAAATGAGAAGATTTGAGGCCCGAGGCTGCCATGGCCGTTAGGCTAAGAACCAAAGAACGACTGGCTAGTCGGGAGGTCAAGGGTTCAATCCCGCGCAGGTTAGATCATTGCTTCTTGTTTCCAATACAGGGTGCGGCAGAATTACGTAGGCACTAGACATGGGAAATCGGGCGACGGACGACGGGGCGACGATATTTTGGTCAATAATTTTTACCGAAGAAAGTTATTGATCTATTTCTTTTTGCATTAAATAGAGCGTCTTATGGGCTACATTTTGACATGCAATAAATAGCAAAAACTCTTTTGGAAGAACGAAACAAATACGTTTGAAACACTAACTAGAGTCTGAACTCACTCTCGTGAACGCCTGTGGGTGAGACGAAAATGCCTGAGCCGATGATACAACCGACAATGATTGAGACTCCATTCCAGAGGCCAAGTGATTTGGCTAAACCCTGAAATGAGTTTGTTTTGTATAAGAATACGTAAAAGGAATAAGAAAGAGGTATAGGAAAAAGCTTGAAAAAGCTTTTGTTTGCTTGAAAAGCTAAGAATAATAAGTGATTTGCAGTTCCAAACTTCTGGTTTACCAATTTTTATTTACTTTCAATAACTCACCTTTCCATCATCGTCTCCCTCATTTTTCGTCGAATCTCTCCTCGGTTCGCCTTGCAACGGCTCTTCTTCTGTCTTTGTACCCATTCAATTCTCCTTTTCAATTCAACCCTAAATTTTTACCAATCGATTTGCTTCTCAAAAATTTCCAAAACAATTTGCAACAAATGAATGCTCAGTAAAATGCTCCTAGATCCTAATGAAGGGTAATCAAGCGTGAATGTATCCTCAAAAAGCAAAGGTCAAACTGTACAGTAGAGAGGAATTTTAAAAACAAATCCATGAGCAATTTCAAAAAAGACAAATGAAAAAAGTTAGGAAAATAGTAAAGTAGTAAAATAGCAAAGTAGTAAAATAGTAAAGTAGTAAAATAGTTGGCAAGAGGAAAAGTTCTGGAAAACATTTTTCACTTTCCCTCTTTGTTGAGTGATTTCTCTCGCAAACAACAAAAAACCAAAAAAAGATTGGATTATGCCGATGATTCGATAGTGCTCTAGTTCGCCAAAACTAGTAATAACAAAAAGTAGCATAAAGTAGTAAAAATTTGCTGAAATATTTAGATTATACCGTATTTTCTCTAATAGTAGTGCCCCCTGAACGTTGCCTAAATTCCTCGAAATCTCGAGAACCGCTTATCAGAACCTATCGATGTGGGGTCGGAAAATGTAGCTGATGATGAGATCTAGTGGGGGATTAGAGTGTTGAGCTTCTGCGAAAGCTTAGAAACCTTCAAATAGTCATCAACTCGGCTCAGCGAGATGCAATACTATTAGAGAAAATACGGTATTCATTTTATACCCTAACAATTAACAAATATTTGTTTTGGGAATATTTTTTCTATTTTGAGAAACTGAAGACCTTATTTTCCATTATTTGCATCTATTTTTCATAAAGAAATGAGTCAATCGCTCTTTTTAAGAATATCTTGAGTAATTTTTGCCCCTGATCACGAAAAACATGTTTTTAGCCCAGGCTTTTAAGCGAAAAACTGACGAAACGCTATTTTTGCACGTTTTACGGTCTGACCATCTCTACTAGAAGCTTTCTAAAAACTTTAAAACACAATGAATCAATAAGCGGGTTTTTTCATTAAATCCTCTTGATAATTAGCTTTCGAACGAGCTATTGCACGTTGAAATTGATTGAGTTTAAACTCCCAAAAAAATCGCACGAACTTTTCGTCTAACCCAATAGATAGGATCAATTTTTAGTTAAACAATTCTATTGCTTTGAGATTTATCGAATTAAACAGGAAACATGCGAGGAGAGTAAGCAAAAAATACGAAAAACGTCCGTGTAAAAAGAATAAAAAGGCTAAAAGGGCTAAAATGGGAAAAGAAGGACCCGAGGAAGGCAAAAAAAGAGCTGGGTGAGGAGGAGAAAAGGCAATGGAAAGGAGGCACAGAGTAGGGCGGCACTTTCCGAATATTGCGCTTTTTTCAAATGAATAAAAAGTAAAGCAAGGAGTTTTGAAAAAAGATCAAAAGAAAGCAAGAGAATCGAGAGGAAAAGTTAATGGGCTTGGAATAGATGTCAATAAGGGCATTTGAGCGTTTATTTTTTAACGAAATCTAACAATTAATGATTTATGAATGATGTTCGAGAGAAAGTTCAAATGAAAGTTAATTAAAAGTTAAAGTTAGAGAAAGTTATAGTTAGAGAAAGTTGTAGTTAAAGAAAGTTATAGTTAGAGGAAGTTAAAGTTCTAGTAACAATAATCAGGGTCCTTGGGGTTTTTCTCATAAAAATATATCAAGTTTAGTATATTTATTTATGAGAATCGATAAAGCTATATTTAAATTATACATCTAGATTAAATTATAGTAGATAAAGGTTAAGCTAAACTAAGAAAAGCTTAGTTATAACCTTAGCCAAGTGCTTACGTACTCGGTGGGTATGCCCATCACAGGTTTTATCAGAAAAATGTATCGTTTAGTATATTTATTTGTGGGAATCTATAAAACTATATTTAAATTATACTTCTAAATAAAATTATAGTAGATAAAGGTTAAGCAAAACTAAGAAAAGCATAGTTATAACCTTTGTTTAGCCAAGTCCTTACGTACTCGGTGGGCATAACTCGAGAAGTACCATAATAAGTTTCAATTTTAGCTTGATTGAATTTTTTTGCTTGTGTTTTGTGCAAAGAATCGGTAAAATGGCCACAAAAAGAGATGATCGATAAGCGAATGACCCTGACCTTTGAAATCATCAAAAAAAGTGATCGAGAGAGTTACCTAGGCAAATTGTTTTAGAGATTTTCGTTAAGTTTAGAAAGATTTTCAGTGACAAATAACACTTAGCTTATTAAAAAGATTATAGATTACAGAAATTTATACAAAGATTGACATACCAGTTCCTTTTGAACTGGCAAGTGTTCGAAAAAGAGCGATTCTAGCGATAGATCTCTGCAATGATCTTATCTCAGTCTCAGATCTCAGTTTTATACGTTTAAAACTAGCTAAATCGAGACTTTTAGAGCAATAAACAAGTCAATTAAATCTTTAAAAGGAGTTAAAGAAAGCAAAAGATTGATCTTCGAAAGACTGTGAAGGATGGGAAGTTTAAAGGAAGAAGTTTGAAGGAAGTTTAACTCTTTTTTCTCCAATTTTGTTTAATTACCCAAGTTTTAGCGAGTTTTGTGCTGATTTATTGGTTTGGAAACTGAAGTTGCTTAAAAACTAATAACGGATTCTGATTCTCTATCCCAGAATGCCTCCGGTTACAAATTTTCAGATCTACAGCTAACATAGATAGCTCCAAAACGGCAGCAAAGTCAAAAATTACTTTGTTTTGAATGTGCTAAGTGGAGAAAGTGCTAAAATCTTTCTGTGCTAAGGGCCAAAACCAATATCCATGAAAAAAATCTGTCAAGTAATTATGATGCTGCGGTAGTAATGCAAAAAGCCGCGCGTTCCTCAATATTACATCACACTAGTACGAGAAAGAGGCGAAAAATGAAAGGCTCAGAGAAGCAGCTGTCCTCACTCTCGACACTCACACTCCATTTTTTTTCGTTACAAGAAACGATGATTGCAATGTCTTCTACTGTTTCCGTCCCAGTGCGTCTTTAGTCTTTTTCCCTCTAAAGTTTAAACTAGAGCAATAGAACAAGAATTGAAATAGGTAAGGAAAGAGGTAAGGAAAGAGGTAAGGAAGTAGGTAAAGAAGTAGGTCCTCTTTCTCTTCTAAAGTTCTAGCAAAATATTAGATCGAAAATATCCATAAGAAAAACTACTGTATTTCATTAAAATACAGGCAGTACAGAAAACAAGAAAGTACAGAAAGTACAAGAAAGTACTGACAGTACAGAAAGTACTGAAAGTACAGAAAGTACAAGAAAGTACAGACAGTACAGAGCGCAAGAAAGGTTGAGTTTTGGGTAGGGAAAAGTCATAATGTTTACTGGAAAGTTTTCAAAGTTGTAAAAGTTGCAAAAGCTCACAAATTTTAATGGGTTCAAGTTCAGGAACCAAGTCTAGCAAAAACAAGCCAAACCATCTTTAAAACTCACAAATTTCTGAGTTTTCTGATTGAAAGGTCAAGTAAACGCCGAAGATCAAAGCCTCAATGGTTTTGGGGGTTTTGGAGGTCAGGTTCGGGTTAGAGGGAGAGTAAAGGGATGGGCAAGCAAGGGGCATGTGCGCAAATATCATCCCCTTTCTAGGCCACCAAAGAGAGTGCCCACCATCTTTTGCAAAGCAAAAGATGGCTATAGGAAAAAGGAAAACCGAGAAGGTGGGCCTAAGTAGTTGGAAGGGATTAAAAGCTCTCCACCCATCATCCTCTTTTTTGCTTTTTTGACGTTTCCTTGCTTTTTTTGCTACTTGATAAAGAGCACTTGAGTTCCTTTAATCTAGAAGTTAAAACATTGTGCGTCAGGAAAGTTAGAAAATTTTGGATCGATATAGAGGTTTTGCGCTTTGGCATTTGGCATTTAAAAATTGCAATTCTGAAACTGACGTCCGATTTAGAACGGTTCTAAATTGGACGTCCGGATTTCGAATCGGACGTCTGGATTTCGAATCGGTCGACCAGCTTTCGAATTCCGGATGTCTGGAATTCGAATCGGATGCCCGGATTTCGAATCGGATGTCTGGAATTCGATTTGGACGTCCGGAATTCGAATCGCATGCCCGGATTTCGAATCGGATGTCTGGAATTCGATTTGGACGTCCGGAATTCGAATCGCATGCCCGGATTTCGAATCGGATGTCTGGAATTCGATTTGGACGTCCGGAATTCGAATCGCATGCCCGGATTTCGAATCGGACGTCTGGAATTCGATTTGGACGTCCGGAATTTGAATCGGACGACCGGCTTTCGAATTCCGGACCTCTGGAATTCGAATCGGACCCCCGGAATTCGAAGCGGACGTTCGGAATTTGAATCAGATGCCCGGATTTCGAATCGGACGACCGGATTTCGAATCGCACGTGCAGAATTCAAATCGGACATCATTTTTTAAATCGGAAGTCCGGTTCCAAACCGGAACTCAAACAATTAAAGGTATTCAAAATTTTGTTTATCAGTACTAAACTAGAAATACAACAACAGTTTTCAATAATCTTGTAATTTTATTGACATTTTGCAATCAAAAAGCGCAAAATATGTGCGACTACAGATACTTTTTTCGAAAAGCATAGAATCGGATGCCCGAATTTCGAATTAGACGCCCGGATTTCGAATCGGACATCAGCTTCTAAATCGGAAGCCCGGTTTCAAACCGGAACTCAAACAATTAGCGATAATTCAAAATCTAAAAAAGCTATTCAAAAACTATAATAAGATTTAAATTCTGTAAAAGATTGGCTATCTTTTGGCTATAAACACTTATGAAATAAAATAAACCAAGAAGATTTTAGAGAGAATTCTAAAAAGACCATTCGCAGTGTTGCGCTTAATGCATCTTTTTTTGCGTTCTAAGACAATACAATAACCTAAGCTGAAAAATAGCAATTAATCATAAAATCTACACGTAATTTTACATAGAATAGAAGAACCGTAACATCTTTTAATGACTTTGACAATACTAGCCGAGCTGTGCAAAAAATGCTATGCTGAAAAACAGTTAAATTCGAGTTTGGGCTCTGAAAAATCGTTTTTTTTCGTCTAAGAATCGTCTTTTTCCATCTTTTTCGACACTAATACGTTTTTAGAGTTAATTACTTTAAAAGTCGTGCTTTTTAGAGCTCCATTATTGCAAACTTGGCTCTTAGCTTGCAATCTTGGCTCTTAGCTAACAACTTGGTTACTTTGGCTAACCAAAAATAAGCACATTTTTGACAAATTTCATTTTTTCGATCGCTTTTAAAGTCATATGAAACAAATAAAGTTTTAAATTCCAAAAGCATGAATCTATTGAAAAATGTCCGTAGTTTTTCAATATCTAAACGAAAAAACTGTTAACTCTTTTGGTTTTTGAGAAAATCATCCTTTTAAAGCGCAACACTATATATCCTATATAAATATATCCTATATAAAACACTATATATAGCGCATCTTATATAAATCGAGCAGTTTTCTAGGAAAATTTGTACTCCTTTACGGTTGACCGATAGGAAATTCGTTTTAAGCACAAAAAAAAGAAAACAACGACAATACTACTACACTTTCCTATGACCATCTGGCACATGGAGAGTTCAAATTTTGGCAATGAAAAGATGGAAAGGGGAAAAGAAATGGGGAAGAGGCAGCCGTCGTTCATGAAACGGCAATTTGAGAGCCATCCCCACACAGGAAGTGCTTCCCTTTCCCCTTCACTTCCCACAACACCCAATGAATGCCAAATAAATCCGAAATTGAAGATTAAGAGGTTATTGAGTGAGCAAAATGAATCTGTTCTTGAAGATCTTAAACTAATCATACAAAATAGTAATAAGCTTGGTTAGCTTGGTTAAAATAGTAATAGCCTCATCTGGTTGAGCCTGGTTCATCCGAAAACTTGAAAAGAAAGAAAAGATATGAAAGAAATCTTTCAATTGAGTTCAAATGAGCTTTTTAGTTAAGAAAATACCCAAAAAGTTTATCAAAATGGATTAAAAGTGACAAAATGGATTAGAAGTGGCAAAATGCATTAATATCCAATAATAGTGGCAAAATATCCAATAATTATCACTATCTATCATTCAGTTCATTGGTCAAGTCAACCCAGTAGCACTTTGTATAAAAGATTTGTACAACTGTGATAGGTAGGTCAATGATGATGAGTGAAGATGGATTTGGTGGTGAAAAGGGAAGGGAATGGGTGTGGTGGTTGTTGGCAGACTGTCACCCTTCTCCCAGTCACTTCAGCTGCTCTGGGTCACTCCGGGTCATTGCCTGAGCTTGCTTTCTCTTTCTCTCTTGACAGCCACATGTTTTTGGACTCATCTGTGGAGTGAGGCAAAATATTAATTCGTTCAGAAAGTCTTTTCGTTTCTTTTCATACTTCCCTTTAAAACCAACGAATTCAACAATTAACCTATGGTTTGGTCTAAATCAAAAGTGGTTATTGGTCAATTTTGATCTTTTTAAGTCAATTCGGATTCACTTTTACTTTCGGTTCACGATTGATTTTTTGGGATAACTTTCGAGCCATCAGTAACCGTGGTAATCGCACAATTCTTGAACGAAAGCATGTTGAAGTTCTTCGGGAATTCTTTCCACGCATTCCAAACCCATTCAAGTATCCTTTTAGATACTTTCACTTCTCGGCTCACAAAAGCTTTAATTTGATGCTTCAGCGCGCAAAAACAAACGTACTGGTGCTGAGATATGAGCGTTTGTTTGAGTGTTAACTTAGACTACGCAACGCTCCTATAGGGTGTGCTTTTATTATAATATTTGCGGTATTTTGCATTTAATATTGAACGTCTCGAATAACTTCTCGGCTCACAAATGCAAAGCTACGAGGAAAATTCTAAAGGATTTGCAAATTGATTCGATTCTGGTATCTAAAGGGTGCATTCAAGCACCGGATTTGGTATACAATGCTCCTTTTAAAACGAGGATTCGAGTCCAATATGAAGACTGGATAATGAATGGGGAAGAGACCGTTGACTCGCAATGGAAATCCGACCCCATCACCAATGTAAATCTATCTTGAATGGGTTTGGAATGTGTGGAACGAAATCGAGAATGCGTGGAACGAAATCTCGAAGAACCTCATCAAGCTTTCGTTCAAGAATTGTGCGATTACCACGGTTACTGATAGCTCGGAAGATGGTCTCATTCAAGAAAGAAGTACCGGTTCCTGAAGGCGCAAGGCTTCTAGCCGATACTCGACTTGAACAATCTATCAATGAAATAAAGGATCAATTTGGAAATATAGGATTGGATGGAGATAATGATTTGGATAACGATTCTGTTGTTGATTTCTTAGCTAGTTAATTTTTATCATGTCTTGTTGTTTTGTTTTGCTGTTTTGCTTGTTTTGATAATAAATTTAAAGAAAGTGATTCATTTTGAAAGAATTTTTGGAGAAAATGCTATCTCTTTTTTATTTGAAATTAATTTTGGTAAGCTGCTAAAACTCTCTAAAAGTATTGCAGGCTTGGAGGGGTTTGTAAAAATAGTATGGCACAATACTATTAGAGAGAATACGGTACCTAACTTTTTGTATTCTATTTTTTATCTATTGACATCAAGATAGATTTCCTTAGCTAAAGTGTCTAAACCGCATCATTGAACGCTCCTTTTGACTACCCGACTTTTTCGTAAAAATCTATAAAAACCTCTACAAAGAAATTGGTTGAATCAAATTCTCTGAAGATTTAGCTATATACCAAACTTTTTATGCTCTATCTTTTATCTATTGACACCAAGATAGGTTTTCTTAGCTAAAGTGTGGCTTTTCTAAAGCTAAAGTGTCCGCATCATAAAGTCGTTGCCCTTTTTTGACTACCCGACTTCACGCTCCCATAAAAATCCAAACATAAGACATTTTAAACTCGTTTTAATCTTATTTTGCAGAAGAATAATTGGCCTTTCTAATGAATCAAACCGTAGTTTGATTGGTGCATTTGCTGGTGTTAAACGGGAGTACGAAAAGGAACCAAAAGACTCACTGAACAGCCTAATAAAATATTAGGTTGGCCGATAAGTCTTTGGACACTACATTTACAAAAGTTATTTCGATTGGTGCATTTGTTGATTTTAAACCGTACGAAAAGTAGGAAAAGTTTAAAGGACGACAAGGAACGAAAAGATTTTCTGGACGATCTAATAGAAAAACTTGAAGTAAACTGTGTGTATTTTTGATTTTAAACCAAAGACACATTTATTCTTGTGGTCAATAATCGATTTGCTGTTGATTTCTATTTTTGGTGCAAAATTTGAAGCATGAAAGTGGAGAAATGGTACTCGCGTCGAGGCATTCTGGCTTTTCAATCTAAAACTAGCATTGCTTAGAGAGATTTGATTAGGGTTAGAGTTGCTGGACATAAACTTGCACTGTAATGCTCACCTGCCAATCCAGTTTTCTGCCCAACAATGTATGTGGAACTCGAGATCGAAGTACAACAACTCGAAGCCAATCACGCACATTCTAATTTTCATGAATTGCTTTACTCATTCTCTTTTCATACCTCGCAAAACTCGCCCAATGATATCATCAATCGGAAGTGACAGCCACGAATGTCTAGTAAAGTGCTATCAGATTCTAAAGGGTTGCAATTAAGATAGGTTTTTTAGGAACGGGATTGAAAACTATTTCAGTAGAAGAAAAACAGTAGATCTAGATTCCTCAGTGATCTAGATTCCTCAGTGATCTAGATTCCTCAGTGATCTAGATTCCTCAGTGATCTAGATTCCTCAGTGATCTAGATTCCTCAGTGATCTAGATTCCTCAGTGATCTAGATTCCTCAGTGATCTAGATTCCTCAGTGATCTAGATTCCTCAGTGATCTAGATTCCTCAGTGATCTAGATTTATCAGTGATCTAGATTTATCAGTGATCTAGATTCCTCAGTGATCTAGATTTCTCTACGAAAGCTTTTACCTAGATATTCACCTAGCCCCAAAACATCGAGCTATTCAACTATTCAACTAGTTTTACAATAGTTGTTCCTTTTTGCTAATTGTAAGCTATCAGATGAAAGCATTCTAGCACTTACCAATATACCCAATCGAAACAAGATCAATCAGAAAATCTGTGTCCGGAAATTTCGATTTGAGATAGAGTTGTGACCGATAGACACTCATCGAGCCACCAAATCGAAATCGAGGAAAACTATTCACTTTTCGAAAGTAGTAACACTAAATTTGCTAGAAAATTAGTCAAGATTTATAAAGCCAAACTTTTACAGGCCAAGCATTACCCGGGCCGACTTCGATAGCTGAATTTCGATAGCATTTAGGTCGAGTGAGAAGCTGAAGGTCCATACATGAATGAGTTTAGGAGATCTGAAAGTGTAAAAATGTCATAAATGGCATATCTTTTCATAGATTGATGATGAATTGTATAGTTTTTTAATGAAATTTAGAGGGAAAGGGAAAGCACACGTGACATCGACTATCCAAACTCGATGACACAACAAATAGATCCAATGAAATGGAATGCGCGCGACAGGGGCAATCGGTTTTTGAGTTAGAAGATTTGAGTTTTTAGGTGACTAGCCTTTGACTAGCCAGAAATAAAAGAAATCTAAAGAAAGATCCAAAAGAAAGATGAAAGTTATGATGCTTTGGAGTAGCTTTACCAGCTTTCAAAGATCGTAAATAAAATCCCGAAAATGATCAGCCAATTTTTGATTCAAAACAGTTACAGTATTGTTCTCTGTTCAACTCTAACTCTAAAGCTTCTCTAACTCTAAAACTTGCTATCACTTCAGCAAATGAACATCAAAGTTAAACAAAATAAACTCAAAATCCCTAGCCTCCTGATCTGCAAATCTCTCTGAATGATTGAAAGATTTGGAAAGTTCAAAGAAATCAGCTCTAAATCGATACTGATCAAGCGGGCCCGCAAAATGCAAATGAAGCAAAATGAATGGAAAAAGAAAGGGAAGCAGCAGAAAGTGGTGGGAAAATAAGGAAAGGAAAAGAAGATGTTTCTTGCACAAACATTGACTCGCCCCTGGATTCACTGTGCACCGTGGGGACTTTCCTTCTCCCTTTTCCATCTTTTCCATCTTTTCCACTTCTTCCCAATCGAGTGATTTCCCTTCCCACCCACACTCTCATCTTTCTTCCTTTCGTTTTTATGACTACCTGCAAGTTCTCCATTTAAAACAAGTGCATCTAGTTTATGAATCAATGATAGAAATTATAGTTTAAACAAAAATTTGCAGGTACTTTCTTTGTTAGTTGGTGAAACGGGCGTCACTGTTGCATAGCAGCTAAAGCTCTTAGACTGTTCAGAATGTCTTTTCATTCATTTTCGTACTTCCCTTTAAAACCAACAAATTCACCAATTAACCAATATGGTTTGCTCTAAATAAAAAGTGTTGATTGTTCAATTTTCATTTTTTTAAGTAAACTTGGATTCACTTTTACTTTCGGTTCACGATTGATTGTTTGGGATAACTTTCGAGCCATCAGTAACCGTGGTAATCGCACAATTCTTGAACGAAAGTATGATGAAGTTCTTCGGGAGTTTGTTCCACGCATTCAAAATCAATTCAAGTATCCTTTTAGATACTTTCACTTCTCGGCTCACAAAAGCGAAGCTACGAGGAAAATTCTAAAGGATTTGCAAATTGATTCGATTCTGGTATCTAGAGGGTGCACTAAGTACATTCAAGCACCGGATGTGGTTTGCAATGCTCCTTCTAAAACGAGGATTCGAGTTCAATATGAAGACTGGATAATGAATGGGCGAAGACCATTGACTCGCAATGGAAATCCGACCCCATCACCAATGTAAACCTAACTTAAATGGGTTTGGAATGTGTGGAACGAAGTTCTGCATAGCAGCTAAAGCTCTTCGGCTCCTTCAGAAAGTCTTTTCATTCATTTGCGAACTTCCCTTTAAAACCAACAAATTCACCAATTAATCTATGGTTTCCCCTAAATAAAAAGTGTTTATTTTTCAATTTCCATCTTTTTAAGTCAATTTGGATTGAATTTCAAGAAAATTCGAGAGTGAAAACACGTGTTTTTCGTAAAAAAACTATAAAACCTCTACGAAGAAATTGACTGAATCAATTTCTCTGAAAATTTGGCTATATACCGTATTCTCCTTAATAGTATTGCACTCTCTAATAGTATTGCGGGCTCGGAGAAGATTGAAAAATCGGATCAAAATTTATGTACTTAAAATTAGCATTTAAGTTCTTGTTTTTTTGTAGTTTTGAATAATTTTAAGTTGAAAACACACTCTTCTACTATTTTTTGTTATTTTTTAATAAATTTTTATGCGTTTCTTTTGCACATGGGCCGGTCGAGTCGAGTCTGCGGTCCTTGACGACTCGGTTCGACCCGCGTTAGCCGATTAGATTCGAGAAACACGAACGAAGAAGATGCGTATGACTCAAAAGATGATCCAAAATTAAACGAAGTTAATTTGGTAAGAAGTTATGGAGTTTGCCGCATCAGAGGGATGGTCAAATCGATTCATAACATTCGAATTTTGCAATTCATTTCCCAGAAATATTTTGCATTTATTTTGCAGAAAAATAGTTGGCTTTTTTTAATGAAACAAACGACTTATTGGTGCATTTGTTGGTTTTAAACGGAATTACGAAAAGGAACGAAAAGACTTTCTGGACAGCCTAATAAAATATTAGGTTGGCCGATAAGTCACTACATTTACAAATGTTATTTAGAACTAATGAACTGATTGAATTACGGTTTGCTCTACTAGAAAGGCCTACTATTTTGCTATAAAATAGCGTTCAAATTTTATGAAAATGTTTTGTTTCTGGATTTTTATGTCGGCGCAAAGTCGGGTAGTCAGAATAGGCGACAACCCGAAGACGCGATTTCGGCACTTTCCTTCAAATAAATCTATGTTGGCATCAATAGATAAAAGAAAGAGGACAAAAAGTTAGGTATCTAACTAAATTTTCAGAGCAATTGATGCAATCAATTTCTTTGTAGAATTTTACGTTCAAATTGATGATCAAATTTTACGATTAACGAGTTTTTGCACTCAAATTTGCTTAGAAACAAACCCAGATTGGTTTAAAAAGATAGAAAAACGAACAATAAACATCTTCTAGTTACAGTAAACCGTAGGTCAATTGGTGGAATTTGTGATTTCTAAGAAGATTTATAAAAAAAGTGTCCAAAGTACCGTCCTTCATGTACAAAGTAAAAATAGCATTTCATTGTCTATTCTGGGTCTCTGTTGTGCTTGTGGATTGCGTGTCTTCTTCTGTCCAGACATCAAATAATGTTACGTACTTGAAGCACATCATCTAACAAAGGCAAAGGCTATTTTTTTGTCCGAACTCAAGTTTTGAAAGCATTTTATTGAAAGCTTTGTCAAAGTATTAGAATTCTCAATCATTTCTTTTTGCAAATCGTATACGGTGCAATATTCCAATCATAGCCCTCGAAGCTCCATGATCCTCGTCCGCAAAAGGTAAAATTGCAGTTCAAATCGTAGTTTGTAATCTTAAACTTATTTTGTTCCAGTAATAGCTTTTGTTTAGCCTTTCTTTGTGCTCAGATTACAAGTTTGAATCTCCTTTTCATCAGTTAACCCACCCTAAGCCAGTTCCCATTAGCATAACCGTAGCATGAATTCTGTTGATAGTCTGACGGACTCCCATCAATCCATTGAACTGTTCCATTTATCTAAAAGCAAATTTCTCGCCTTCAGAAACTTCTTATTAAAATTTACAAGTTTTCCTCCAACGAGATACCAGCCGAGATCGCCATCATGCGATAAATTGTCACATCCATTTTCACAGCAAAGACCTAGAGAGACTTGGTTTTGGATTTTAACACATTCACAACAAAGTCATTTTTGGTTTGGCTGTGGTTTCAGACGGCACCTATCTACCATAAATATTTTAATAGAAGAGTCGGCTCTTTTATTTTTAATCTTCTACTTTTAAACACTTTAGAAACGATTTTTGGTTCTGCCTTAAATCGCTAGAAACTGTGTGCCAGAAACTGCCCGATTACGCAAACATAAAATTTTAATTAATTTTAAATTAATTTTCACGTTTTTTGTAACCGCGCACCTTCCCGGCCCTGGATGTGGGGTTTCAATTGGGTAATTAAACTGAAAAAGTAGCCCAAAATAGAACAGTTTTCTTTAAAGAATAATAACGGATTCGAATTCCTTGACCCCGAAAACCCCTGATTGCAAATTTTCAGCCCAATCGGCCTCAAAAAAAGTGTTAAATCCACGAACGGTCAACTGGTGAGCCGTATGCTTCTTTACCTGCAATGAAATCGTTTTCAGCTTTGCTGTGAATAGATGCAAGATGACCGCCTTGAGATTGACAAATCGCTTCTGCATCAGAAACCCGTGTGTCATAAAGAACCTATAAAACATTTTGAAACGTCGACCCGAGCCATTTCTACCAAATATTGGAAACCCGTCTCCGGTGAATACTGCCAACCATCTCTGCAGTTCTACAAAGGTTGTTGTTCAACTAAATCACAAGTTTGATTGGTAAAATTCCCAAAAATCACCTGGCAAGCAAACTTGCGGTGGTTGAGTGGTTAAGTTTGATGGAGTTGACATTGGCAACACCGAGCTCGTGCAAAAGAAATTTTTATTTTGCATCATTGTTCTCTTTTTCCATAAACGATCTCTAGAGTCCAGGGTTGCAAAGTCGCCGTTCGCACCTGGAAATGAGAGAATAGGATGTTTCTGGGTTAGACTGGATTTCTGGTGGATTTCTGGATTTGACATTTGAATGGAATGTTTCTGGATTATTTTTGATTGGCTCTTGTTTTCTCACTTGATTGAAAACGCTGATAGTCAAATGGTGTATCATCAGTCCAAGCCCAACTTCCATTTGCGTCCAGAAAAGCACCCAACCAAAATTCCGCGTCATAGCCGGTCACATCTTAAAAGTGGTAGATAAGACAAACATTTCCCAAGTTCGACAAAAAGAAAATTTCCAATCGTCCTATCCTAGCTATATTTTAAACTCACTTTTTTGAAGATCTGCAAGCAAATTGTTTTGAAAAGTGTTGTGAATTGAGAGGAGAGTGCCTTGTTGTTCATTGCAATAGAAGTAGGCAGTTCTCCAATCGGTTGCAAGGGCAGTTCCTAGAATTGTTCAAACCATAGTTGAATTTCCTATTCAGATGCCAAGATCTTGGCCTGGTTTAAGAAAAAATAATGTTTTTATGGATTAGACCCCGCGATAATTATTTATGGCCAAAATACAGAAAGATGGCTCAAGATCAGCACAAATTAGGGATTTTTCTTGGATATACATGAAAATAAACACCACCAATCGCTGCCTCGACTCCGAAAACCCCTGGGTACAGACTTTTGGCTTCATATCTCAGTCAAGACGTAGCTCGACGCAAAACCACGACGCGTGGGGGCGCCGGCCATTTTGGTCTATTTCAATAGCAAAAATCACCCACCATTCACCTTTGCGTACATTAAACAAACACCGAGATCAGATTGATAGAAATATCCATCTGGACAACTCGCATCAACCAATAAAGCATGTAGAATAAAAAAACAAATAAATAAGGTCTTCATTTCGTTTGAATGCAACAACTTTTGAGCTTCGTTGCCCGTTTTATGAGAGAAATTATTTATCACTAAGTCCTTCATTTGACGGAAATGCTGATAAAAATTGCTTCTCATTAGGGAAAGAAAGGATTCCGGAATTCGCCATATCTTCACCATTTCGTTGACCTGGTGGGAGAAAAATCGTTGTTTTTTGGGAAATTTAGTCAAAAGCTGAGTTTTTCCTTATAGTTAGCATTATATCTTCAACCTCAGAAAAATTGTTGAGCCTTCAGGTAAAAAATTGTTGAGCCAAAAATGACTTTGTCGTGAATGTGCTAACAATGTAATCTAGTCTAAGCATATTGGCTGATTTTGCAAGGCAAAAATAAATTAAGATGACTTCTATACGATTTACACTGACCCGGAAAATGAGCTTTCAACGCAGCAATCCATGGAGTGTCGAGATGTTTCAAAGTGATCTTTTCCTTGATTGATCTTGATTTTTCCTTGACTCATTTTGATTTTTCCTTGATTCATTTCCTTGATTCTTTGACTCATGCAACTTCTCCAACTCTCCAATTGTTGCCGCATTTCAAAAATATCTCTGATTTACGTATCTGTTTCTTTCGAAACAGTAGTACAACCTCTGCGGATCCTAGTTTTTTTCGTCTTGACCCGAAACAAAATTAGAAACGGATTTCGAGAATTGTCTTCTTTTCTCTCCCAGGGAGGGTGGTGTGGATTGGATTCCGAAAAAATGGGGTCTTCTCGCGGGGAGGCGGCCAAAAAACCCCGAATCTTTTGGATTGACGAGGTCTTTGGGGGATTCTCTGTGAAGGAGAGACTTCTCGTGATCCCTTCTTTTTTCCCCTTCGTCACTCCCTTTCCCTTCACAGAAAATTGACCCCAACCGAACTCCATCCTCGACTCCAAAATTCTTCAAAAATTCTTTTCTTGCACACAAATCATGTCTTGTTTAGCCAAGTCTGAAAAAAATCCGCAAATTGTTTGGGTCTGAAGTCGAGGATGGAGTTCGGTTGAGGTCTGAAAATAGAAAATTTTGAGAAAATTTCTTCCTTCTCAAAGTTGACAACAACCTTTCCTGGGAATTTTGAAACTTTTCAGAAGTTTATTCAGCTTCTCAGAAGTTTATTCAGCTTCTCAGAACCTTATTCAGCTTCTCAGAACCTTATTCAGCTTTCCAGAAGCTTATTCAGCTTCTCAGAGGCTTATTCAGCTTTTCAGAAGCTTTTGAGAAATGATTTTGAATATATTCTGTCTATCCCCTTCTGGATCTAGAGTCCATTTTCTAATTTTTTTTATTCACATCATCTTTTTATTTAGCAAAAAAGCTGGAATCACAAAAAATGGCGGTGAAATTCACACCATCAGGGAAATTCGAGCCGATTTGCGTGATCTCATTCATGTGAAACTTCCAATTTTAAGGGGATTCTAGAATTCAATTCTTAGCTTAGATTCATTTCTAGAATTCATTTCTGGAATTCATTTCTAGAATTCATTTCTAGAACATTTCTTATTCAATTCATTTCCAGTCTAGCTGGTTATGTAAAGTTTCATCTTTCAAGAACCTGTCATTTTCAGATCTCAAAGCTTTCAGTTATACTTCTTTCAAGCCTGAACATCTTTTTTGTTCCAAAGACAACAAGCTCTTCTTATTTTTGAGCTCTTGAAAATTTGGTGTTTCTGGTCTGGTCGAGAAATCTTCAGAAGCTTCAAATTTCTCCCCTTGGGAATTCCCCCATAGATATCCCTCCTTTAGCCAAAAAATAGCCATCCATTGAAACTTTTCCCCATTTTCTTCCCTTTCTCTTTTCCATGTCAATGACTTTACCACATTTTAGGTCATATTCTTTTTTGGAACATCGAACTTCAGGGAAAAGTCCATTAGTCTTCGATGTTCGTCTTTAAAAGAACTTCCGCTTGCTGTACAACTTTTCCCCACTCATCATTCTCCCTTTTTCTTCAACTTTTTTGAAACTTTTAGTTTGTTTTTGAGAAGCGAACACTTTCCTTTTGTCTTTGACTTTATTTAAGAGCCTATCACAATCATATTTGTTCTTTGTCTTGTCTTTGAACTTTATGTTTAAAATACTTGGTTATTGTTAAATCTAGAATCTTCTAGATGTGATTTAAATTAAATCTGGAATCTTCTAGAATCTAGAAGGCTCCAAATGTCTGCTCGGGCAGCGATGCGAGCCGTTTCGCCGGCGCCTGACGAAGTGATGGAAATTGTGATTCCTTTTGATTATCAAAGTCGACTCGCTCTCTCCTCAACGCAATATGGAATGGATGCTCAGGTAAAGAAATAGTAATAAGGTAATAAGGAAACAGTAAAAACCTCTAGGTTTAAGTTCCTTAGCAGTGTAGCTTGGTGGTAGAAAGCACAAGCTTCACTGGTTTGTGATTCACTGGGTTCTTGTGATTGACTAATCTATTCTCAAACATTCTTCTAACGGAATGCGAACGGAACGCTAACGGAACCCTGCTAATGCTAATGGAATTCAAAATTCAGAACCTATTGACAAAACTGAAACCTTAGTAATCTGAAATCCTATTTATACGAGAGCTTTCAAAAATGAATTCCAGATTCAAACCGCCAATCGACCTGTTGTCTTATGCGTGGCCCCACGGCACTCTCAAGATCCTCAACTCTGTGACGATTGTCGACGAAGTCAACATATTGAAAAGAAAAAATGATTTGTCTCCTGCAAATTCAAAGTTTTAAGTTGTACATAAACCTCTCAGGTCTTTGCAATATTTGTACCATTCTATCAAAAAAGATATTCCTTTTTTGGTTCTCCGACTTTTGAAAGTATTGTTCTATTAGGATGTTCAAGAAGGCTTTTTGTTCCTTTTCGTACTCCCGTTTAACACCAACAAATACACCAATTGAACTACGGTTTGTTTCATTAGAAAGAGCTATTATTTTTCTGCAAAATAAGATTAAAATGGTTTATGTCTGTTTTTTTATGGGAGCGTGAAGTCGGTTAGTCAAAAAGAGCGACGGCTCGATGATGCGAACACTTTAGCTTTAGAAAAGACACACTTTAGCTAAGGAAACCTATCTTGGTGTCAATAGATAAAAGATAGAGCATGAAAAGTTAGGTATATAGCCAAATTTTCAGAGAGATTGATCTAGCCAATTTCTTTGTAGAGGTTTTTATGGATTTTTACGAAAACACACGTTTATCACTCGCGAATTTTCTTGAAATTCAATCCAAATTGGCTTAAAAAGATGAGAAATTGAACAATAAATACTTTTTATTTAGGGGAAACCATAGATTAATTGGTGAATTTGTCTTTTTTCAACGAAAAAGGAATGAAAAGATTTTCTGGACAGCCTAAAATTTGATTGGTGCATAAGTCTTTACAATTTTTCCCACTTTTTTCCAAAGGAATGCCACTATCAACAAAATCTCTATTTAAACTATTAAAAAGGTTTATTATTTCTTTGCAATTATTTCTGGCTTTGGGGAAATTCTTAGAAGTAGTTGTTTCTGTGGATTTTCAAAGGCGCAAGACGAGCACCCCAAACTGCTCCGATTCCGTAGTCGCAATTTAGATACTTTCATCAAAACAAATCTATTTTGGTGTCAAAGTAAAAAAGATAGAGCTTCTTTGATTACATAAGTCTGTAAAATTTGAAAACGATTCGTCCAGTCATTTTCTTAACAACAGCTATTGAAAACTTTTCACAAGAATGCACTTTTACCGAGTTGAGGCGAGCTTTAAACTTTCTCTCAAAAGCCATTTTGTAAAGAAATGATAGATCTTTCTAATAGTTTAAAACGCAATAAATTTGGTAAACAATTCTTTTTCATGGCAAAAAAATGAAAAAATTGTAAAAACTTATTCACCAATTCACCAATATTTGGATTGGTAACTTCAACTGAATGACATTCATTCGCCTTTTCCAATTAGATTTTTGCTCTATATGATATTTTTTGAGATATTTTACGCTACGTGTAATAAATCTGTTTTACTTTAAAAAACTTTTACTTTACTTTCCGGGTTGTTCGCATTCAAAGTTTTCCATCACTTGAAGAACCAGCTTTTTTCGGTGTTCCAGTGCCTTTTTGTGGCATTTTCCCAAAAGAATGTTTTCAGCAAAGTGTTTCAGCAATCAATGTTAATCTTGATCTCTTCAAGCTTGATTCTCTTCAGGCAAGCGTAAACGGTGCTCTTTGGAATGGCGTGTTTTTTGGTGATTGCTAACGGTCCTACTCCGGACTTCGATAGACGCTCAATGGCTGGTCGAAGATTCCTCGCGAGAGCCATCCAAATAATTATGTTATGAAAGAAAGTAATAAAATAAAACGCAAAAAAACAAAGTTATCTGGTCAGCAAACTAGAAGATCGCTTAAAAAAGCATGCACGATTGGAACTTTTATTGGCCCTGCTGTCCCTGCTGGCCCTTGAATAAAGTGTCTTAGTTCAAGTGAGATCAGATATCTCGAAACAAGAAATAACGTGTCTTGAGGGAAGAGTACCAGGCACGCAAAAAATATTTCTTTACATCCGGGAACTTTTTATTGGCCCTGCTGGCCCTGCCGCGAATCCAAAATAACTCAGATGGCCAAAGTTGATTAGCATTATGGATCTGTAAAATGACTAGCATTATGGATCTGTAAAATGACTAGCATTATGGATCTGTAAAATGGAAGAGGATCTTGAGTGGCTGCTTGTTTGATAGTGCAGTGCAAATGTTTGATAGAACTTTTCAAGTGCAAAGGTTTAATATTGGGTTGGTGAATTGAAAACTGCCGGCTATTTCGCGAGACTCGCAGATAAAAAAACAACAGCATTGATCCAGCTGAAAGGGGGTTTGGTTACTTCAACATTTCCTCAAAATTATTGCGAAAAAATTATGCTTCCAGCTTTTTATTTTTTGGTATTTTCTTCACTTCTTCTATTGCACTCGACAATCTGCCACCGGGACATATTCGCTCATGCTTCATGAGTTCCTACAAGAGCACAGTGCAGGCTTGGCAGCTGCTAATATTAAAAAGATATATGGAGACAAATCGCTTCTGCATCAAAAACCCGTGTGTCATAAAGAGCCTATAAAAATCACCTTCCGAAAAAACGTGCCGAGTATGGTTTGCCAAGTTTTGATCTGGGGACAAATCTTTGAAAGAAGCAAAGGGCCGTGGAGCGGCAACCCAACTGGATGACCCAACTGGATGACTCCAAATTACTCAAACTTATTACCAACGGCCATTGGGTGTCATCGCGTCAATTGGGAGAAGAGTTCGCGATTGATCATGCATTCACGACAAAGTCATTTTTGTTTGTCAATGTCAACAAAGTCAATTTTTTTACCTGAAAGCTTAACAATTTTTCTGAAGGCTGAAGGTATAATGCTAACTATAAGGAAACAAATCGAACTCAGCTTTTGACTAAATTTCCCAAAAAACCATGATTTTTCTCCCACCAGGCCAACGAAATGGTGAAGATATGGCGAATTTCGGAATCCTTTCTTTCCCTAATGAGAAGCAATTTTTATCAGCATTTCCGTCAAATGAAGCACTTACTGATAAATAATTTCTCTCATAACACGGGCAACGAAGCTCAAAAGTTGTTCCACTCAAACGAAATGAAGACCTTATTTATTTGTTTTTTTATTCTACATGCTTTATTGGTTGATGCGAGTTGTCCAGATGGATATTTCTACCAATCTGATCTCGGTGTTTGTATAATGTACGCAACGGTGAATGGTGGGTGATTTTTGCTATTGAAAAAGACCAAAATGGCCGGCGCCCCCACGCGTCGTGGTTTTGCGTCGAATGGGCGATGACACGGCACACAACAAAATGGTGCCAGTTAAACTCGGAGCGGAACAGATTGCCGAGGAAGGAGAAAAAGAGCCCATCCTAAGTAAAAGCCCTCCGCCACCCGTCTCTTTAGAAAGGAATTTCTTTTGTTCTGTAAACATTGCTCAGATGAGATATAAAGCCGAAAGTTTGTACCCAGGGGTTTTCGGGGTCGAGGAAGCGATTGGTGGTGTTTATTTTCTTGTATATCCAGGAAAAATCTCTAATTTGTGCTGATCTTGAGCCATTTTCCTGAATTTTGGCTACAAATAATTATCGCGGGGTATAACCCATAAAAAACCTTATTTTTCTTAAACCAGGCCAAGATTTTGGCATCTGAATAGGAAATTCCACTATGGTTTGAACAATTCTAGGCACTGGCCTTGCAACCGATTGGAGAAGTGCCTACTTCTATTGTGATCAACAACAAGGCACTCTCCTCTCAATTCACAACACTTTTCAAAACAATTTGCTTGCAGATCTTCAAAAAAGCGAGTTTAAAACCTAGCTAAGAGAGGACAAGTGAATCGTTTCTTGTTCTCGAACTTGGGAAAGGTTTGTCTTATCTACCACTTTTAAGATGTGACCGGCTATGACGCGGAACTTTGGTTGGGTGCTTTTCTGAATGCAAATGGAAGTTGGGCCTGGACTGATGATACACCATTTGACTATCAGCGTTTTCAATCAAGTGAGAAAACAAGAACCAATCAAAAATAATCCAGAAACATTACATTCAAATGTCAAATCCAGAAATCCAGTCCATCCATCCAGAAATCAACCAGCCCAAAAAACATCCTATTCTCTCATCTCCAGGTGCGAACGGCGACTTTGCAACCCTGGACTCTAGAGATGGTTTATGGAAAAAGAGAACAATGATGCAAAATAAAACTTTCTTTTGCATGAGCTTGGTGACAACGTCAACTCCATCAACGTTGACAACGTCAACTCCATCAATCTTAACCACTCAACCACCACAAGTTTGCTTGCCAGGTGATTTTTGAGAATTTTACCAATCAAACTTGTGATTTAGTTGACCAACAACCTTTGTACAACTGTAGAGATGGTTGGCAGTATTCACCGGAGACCGGCTTTCAATATTTGGTAGAAATTGCTAGGGTCGACGTTTCACAATGTTTTATAGGTTTTTTATGACACACGGGTTTCTGCTGCAGAAGCGATTTGTCAATCTCAAGGCGGTCATCTTGCATCAATTCACAGCAAAGCTGAAAACGATTTCATTGCGGGTAAAGAAGCATACGGCTCACCAGTTGACCGTTCGTGGATTTAACACTTTTTTTTGAGGCCGATTGGGCTGAAAATTTGCAATCAGGGGTTTTCGGAGTCAAGGAATTCGAATCCGTTATTATTCTTTAAAGAATGCTGTTATATTTTTGATATTTTATTCGGTTTAATTACCCAATTGAAACCCCACATCCAGGGCTATGTGCCGTGTGCCGTTTGTAAAGTGTTTAAGAGTAGAAGAGTAAAAATATTAGGTTGTCCAGTTATAAATGCGCGTTTTTGAGGGCTTATTCCAAATATTTTTGCAAGTTCACGTGTAATTTGTCAAGGATCTATTTCGATCGCCTGTTTAAGTACTGCATCGTAGAAGGTCGGTGGGCCACATCTCCCAAAAATTCATTTCCTTCTCCATCGCCGACTTTCCTTCTCGTTGAAACCATCGCCGACACTGGCTTTCCAAAATAGCATCTTCCAAAATACTTTCCAAAGGCCTCGACGAGATTCAGTGATATTTTTGCCCAATTTGAAGTCATACCAAAGACCGGCACGGAGACGAAACTTCGTGTCGTTCACAGAAAACAAACCTAAACACAGAAACTAAATCAAAAATTGGTTTGACGTCAAAAACACGAAAAGTTGTAATAAAATAAGATATCCTGAACAGCATGTAGAGAATTGGGTTTGATAAAATTGTATAGCTGTAAGGAATGCTGTTCAAGAGTTGTCCAAGAGCAGGCGCGCATTCATAACTGGACAACCTAATAAAAGAGCCGACTCTTCTATTAAAATATTTATGGTAGATAGGTGCCGTCTGAAACCGCCGCCAAACCAAAAATGACTTTGTTATGAATGTGTTAAAATCTAAAACCAAGTCTCTCTAGGTCTTTGCTGTGAAAATGGATGTGACTATTTATCGCATGTAGGCAGCAATTTCGGCTGGTATATCGTTGGAGGAAAACTTGTAAATTTTAATAAAAAATTTGAATAAGAAATTTTTGAAGGCAAGAAATTTGCTTTCAGATAAATGGAACAGTCCAATGGATTGATGGGAGTCCTTCAGACTATCAACAGAATTCATGCTTGGCTAATGGTGATGGGAATTGGCTTATAGTGGGTTAACTGATGAAAAGGAGATTCAAACTTGTAATCTGATCACAAAGAAAGGCTAAACAAAAGCTATTACTGGAGCAAAATAAGTTTAAGATTATGAACTACGATTCTAACTGCAATCGTTTCACTTGCGGAGGAGGAACATGGGACTTCGATGGATATGATTGGGATATTGCACCGTATACGATTTGCAAAAAGAAATGATTGAGAATTTTAATACTTTGACAAAGCTTTCAATAAAATGCTTCCAAAACTCGAGTTCGAACCAAAAAAACGCCTTTGCCTTTGTTAGATGATGTGCGTAACATTATTTGATGTCTGGACAGAAGAAGACACGCAATCCACAAGCACAACAGAGACCCAGAATAGACAATGAAATGCTATTTTTACTTTGTACTTGAAGGACGAATTTGTGGGTGAATTTAGATACGTTTAATCCCAGAATAACCTGAAAATCTTTTTTTGCTAATGTTCAGCTTCATCTACTGTCAGATAAGAGCTATTAGGCTTGTAAATTGGGGCAATAACATGGGCATCGGGTCGGGTCGAGTCGGGTCGGGTCAAAAGTGACCCGCGACCCGGCTTTTTTCCTGGATGATCCGCTGACCCGACCCACGACCCGGCTTTGTTGAACTAATGCCAACTATCTTTTCTAAACTGCGATGAATATGGGCACTATAAACTACAAAAATGACAAACTGCCACACTACAGAAAATGAAGCACACATCGCACCAGGAAGCAAAATCATTAGCGATGGTTGGAGTGCTTACAAATCTCTCACTAGCCACCCGGATTACAATTGGAGCTGGGTAAATCATTCGACAAATTTCATCGACACTTCGGATTCTACAATTCATACGCAGACAATATGTGGCGGTCCGTTTAAAGATGCAAATCGACGACGAAGTAGAATACACACCATATGGCTGAAAGCTATCTGGCGGCTCTGGCGGCTCTAGGTCTGGCGGCTCTGGCTCTGGCGGCTCTGGCTCTGGCGGCTCTGGCTCTGGCGGCTCTGGCTCTGGCGGCTCTGACTCTGGCGGCTCTGGCTCTGGCTCTGGCGAAGGGATCTGGCGATTAAATCCTCCAACGAACTCAAGCGCTTTTGATGTAATTCTTGAAGATATTCGCAAATTTTGGCCTCTAGGTACTCCGCAAAATGCACTAGCTTTTTTTTCTTAAGGTGTTTGTTTGTTAGCATTTCGTTTTTTGGTTGTTAATCTATTTGTTGACGAACGCGTTTTGTTTTGTTGTTTTAATGTACTTTTTGTCATTTTTAAAGGATAAAATTTAGTTTGGCGCTCGAAAAAAACAAAGAAAGAAGAAAAACAAACACAAAAACAAAGACACGTGCTCGCGAAATTGTTCGGTATTCTTACGTTTCCAACTAATTATACATATTGTTTAGTTTTCTATTACCACAGCCCAGCCATTCAAACCGACACCTGAAGGGCAGAAAAAACGAGAACAACGTGAGCTTTATATTGTTAGAATTATTTTGGATAAGCAAAAACGTATCGACTTTCCACTAACAAGTCAATTGTTTAACAGAATTTTCAGTGCTGATCAGAAAAAGATTCTTTACGAGAAAGTCTCTTCTTCTGTTGCGACGATTTCAGGGAGCAGGACTAGAGAATGATTTTCTTCTGCGCTTTCTCATACATAAAAAGATTTATTAAAGCTTTGAGGTTTCATTTGGTCGATTATACAAAACAGATCTCAAGTTGATAAAATCAAAAATGGAAAGTGAAGCAAAAAAAAGTATAAGTGTTAATACCTGATCAACAGATTAATTGAGGGCACCCGTGAGCAAATAAGCTGATTGGTTGATAAATAATAGATCAGAATAGATCATAACAAGTCAGAAAAAAAGTGAAAAAGCAGAGAAAAAGCAAAAAATGGAAGGTCGAATGTTCGTTCAAAGATCAGACGGTGTGGGCGGAAGCGGCTGAAATTTGTAGGAGTAAAATCATGTGTAAAATTTGATAGTGAGCTTTATAATATCTACTTTATTTCATTAATAAAGCGTAACTAAATCCACAAATCCTTTATGAACTAAAGAACTAAAGTATTTTTTTTGGAGAAACTGAATAGGGATAACATTGGATTGGGATAACATAAAAAAAGGGATTCAACTTACCACCCATAGATCAGAGATTAGAACCATAAGATCCATTTTTGCTTCTAATACTGGTTTAGCTGTATTATTTGAAGTTATGTCTTAGCCAAGCCATGATTTTCCGTAGTTTTATAAACCTTTCCTATGGCTTTAGCTTGCTAGTAAGCTTGCTAGTTTTGTTTAGATACCTTACTAGGAATGCTTTTCCTAGTAAGGTTTTCGACTTACACCTGGCTTTTGAACCTTGACATCATTTTTCTGAGAAAAAATGTCTGCAAACGGGTTTGAACCTGTGCGGTCAGAGACTGAATCTGAAAGGTCAGTGCAATCACACTAACCACTAGGCCACGAGCCCAAGTTTTCATCGCTGCTCAAAAGCAATTTGACTATCCATGGTCGAAAAGAGCCATGCTCAAAAATTCTGTGTAAACTTTGGAGCTGAATATCTTGCGAATTTCAACACGTCATCCCCAAGCGACCTAGATATTCGGATTCAGCGCAAAAAACTGCACCAGAAAAAATATAGGCCCAAAAGCCAAGTGTAAATCGAAAAGCATCCCTAGTTAGTTTAAAATGAGCTATTAGGCTGTCCAGAAACTCTTTCCATTCCTTTTCGTACTTCCCTTTAAAACCAACAAATTCACCAATTAACCTATCGTTTTTTCTAAATAAAAAGCGTGTTTATTATTCAATTTGCATCTTTTTAAGGAAATTTTGGTTTACTTTAAAGGAAATTCAAGAGTGAAAACGGTTTTTCGTAGAAATCTCTCTACGAAAAAATTGGCCGAATGAATTTCTTTGGAAATTTGGCCATATACCTAACTTTTTGTGCTCTATGTTTTATCTATTGACACCAAGATAGGTTTCCTTATCTAAAGTGTGGCTTTTCTAAAGCTAAAGTGTCCGCATCATAAAGTCGTCGCCCTTTTTTGACTATCCGACCACGCTCTCTAAAAAAACCAGACATAAGACATTTCAAACCCGTTTTAATGTTATTTTACAGAAAAATAATTAGCCTTTCTAACGAAACAAACCGTAGTTCAATTATTGCATTTATTGGTTTTAAACGAAAGTCCAAAAAGGAACCAAAAGACTCTCTGGACAGCCTAATACGATGAACTTTTCAATTCGATCACCTTTGGCATCATCGCCTTCTTCATCGGTCTCTCCAATGTACTATTCGGCGTCTCTTCATCCAATCTCTGTGGTAATTGTGGTGGAGTTCCGGGCGGGAAATTTGGAGACTTTGGTGTGATTGGCGTTCGCAACTTCACCCCTAAATAATTTCCTCAATTTGATTCATCATCTAGATCCATCTAGAGTTACAAGGAAAGCCATTCCTTACCAAAATTGGAAACTTCTATAGGTAAAGGCTAAAAGGTTTTAAAGGTTAGTTGGGTCTTAATTTGAATTTCAAAAATAAAGGCAAATGTTAACCGAGTTTATGCAAATTCATTGTCAAAACGGGCTCACAACTTGCTGCAAATTACCAAATTTGATCGTGTTTCCTGTTTTTCACGGACGAATTTTCACTTAGAAAACCACGAAAAATGGCAGATCGCCGTGGGGTGCCTGCGAAGGTCTCAAGGCCCATTACGAAGGCCAGTAAGGGTGAAAAATTAGCTCTGGTCAAAAAATCTTTGGTCTACTAATGATGCTGAGAATCAGAGCTTTCAAATAGTATATAATACATACTATTTTCTGTAGAAAGTTTTTTGGAAAAGAATAGTTTTCTGGTTACCAAAACTGATTACCAAAACTGATTACCATAATTGTGAACCACCCTGTGAGAGTGTCAGACTATTAGGAAGTGTCAGACTATTACGGAAAAATACGGTATTGAACTAACCATCCAATGAAGATTGACTATTGTAGTGCTTTCTCAATGGAGACGTGATCGGACTGTTCTTCACATATCTCTTAATATTTTCTAGCGAATCTGTTTTCATCACTCGATCAAACATCTCAACGGGTTTCTCGCTGTGTCTAAGTTGTTTTTTTGAATGCAAATGATTTTTGAATCTTTACTTGATCACGGTGGTCGATAGCTGACTGAAACTTTTCCTTGGAGTCGATCCGATAAACTTTTGAAAGCCTTTTTTGAGGGTGTTTGATCTAAAGTTGTTCACTATTTTTCACATTTTTACTTCAATTTTTAATTCACACATTTTCCTAGTGATACTTTGAACAATCTTGCATTCAAAAGTAAAGATACAAGCAAATACGAGTCTCTTACCCAGTTGTGATCAATGAGGGCTGAGAAGTTGTCGGTGCTTCGTCCACAGATTGATTTCCCAAACTCATTGAACTCGGTTTCTTATCCTTTTCTCCCAAAGACGGATTCGGCAATGGCTCAGCGGCACAATCATATATTGAGGCTCCTTGTGGCAGCAAAGAACTCTTGAAACTTTGACTGCAAAAGTTGTTTTGGTTTACCAACCGCTTTCCCGAATTTTCTCTCCACATAATCTTTGTGCTCACGATAGCCTTCAACGAGAAGATTATGAATGCTTCGATCGGCTTCTTGGCGTTTCCCGTGTGCATAGATACAATACTCGACAATGGCAAGCTGAATGAAAGAGTCAATAGTAATGCTAACAAGTATATTCTACCTGATCGATGATCAATCGTCTCAACTCCAAACACATTCCTTTCTCTTCAGCATCATAGATATTTGAGCATTTCTCGTCAAAGAATACCTAATTCAAGTTCGAAATAGAACTTTTCCTTTATTACCTCATAATTCTTGACTCCACCCATTACGGCTGCTTGTACAACTCCCTGAATATCACCGGCAAAGTTTCTTGTTGAGTACAGTGGATTGTGAAGAACTTTGATTGCTGATTCAGTCAACTTCTCATTCTTGTTCCTCATCCCTTGCACTGCCAACGCTAATGGTGAAATTTCAATCGGTGAAGAGACAGAGATCGCCTGGAAATACAATAAATAGTGATCATTCGTGTACAGTACTTGTGAGAATCTCAACACTGATGGAAGACTTTCAGCCACGGCAACAATTCTCTTTGTCACCCATGTCTTCAACAATTCATTGTTATCGATCTCTGTCCATTTGCTTTCTTTTACCAGATGCGTTCGACAGTATTCAAACTTTTGAATCTAAAATTTTGTTTTGTTTTAATTAAAAATTAAACAAGATCCTGACATTGTAATTTCGATAGTACTCCTTGATTGCCGGGTTCACCGTAGGGCCTAAGTCGTAGGATGGGCAAACTGGATCGACTTTGAAGATCTGAATTGAGCTGATACTGAGTCGATATTTCACTCCTTTGATTAGTTTACTAGAATTTTATCATTTCTTTCAATTATTGCCAAATGAGCCGAAAAACCAGCTGAAAAACTTAAGAATGCAAAAATTTGAGACAATTTTTAATGGCTTGAATCAGTGGTAAAAATTTGTGTGCTTTTCAAAGCTATGTTTATCTATTGGCGACCCTTCAAATCGATTTTAAACTGGGTTTTTTGAAAAGAGCGCAAGAAATTGACCCTAGAAAACGGTTTTTCGAAATTTTTGACGGTTTTCAATGGGAAAACGAAGGTGAAATGGAAATTTAAGAAGTTGTGTGGCTCTGGGTTAACCACCCGTCTTTGAAGACTTGTAAACATTGTGTCTAGTCATCGTACAAGCCATAAGCTCATTCCAAATAGTTTTCATTATTATTGACGATTTCTGCCCATTTTACAGGCAATTTGCGGATTCCTCTTTCGTGGTAGGATTTTGGTTTGTGTGTGAGACGAGTGTGAGACTCAAAAATCGAGGACTGGAGATGTCCCAGTTTGAGCATTTGAGCACTTTCTTCAAAAGAAACCCATTTTGGTGTCAATAGAAAAGTTGTAGAGAATCAAAAATTAGGCTTATATCCAAATTTCCAAAAAGATACACTTAGTAGTTTCGCTTAAAATGCAAGTTTTGTTGCAAGTTTTGTGAAAATTCGTAAATTTGGCATTTCTTGAAAACCAGTTTTTGAATCGTTCTGAAAATTTGGATATAAGCTTGATTTTTGATTCTCTACAACTTTTCCATTGACACCAAAATGGGTTTCTTTTGAGGAAAGTGCTCAAACTGTGACATATGACAATAGCCTGCAGTTTTCAATTCACCAACCCAATAGTTATATAAGTAGTGTGAATTACTTCAAATAGTTGTCATTTATTACCTGTAAATGCCGTCCAGATGAATTCTCTAGATGTGAGCAGTCATCCATCGTCGTATGCGTATCCGGATTTCCATACATTTGCTTCATTCGCTGAAAAGATGTTTGCGTGAAATTTTTCCAACTTTAAAAATCAGCTTTACTTGAGCTTTACCTGCAAAAAATCCGGATGTCTTTCCAATTGATCCGATCGAAAAACAAACTTTTTTCCGTTCAAGAACGATGGATATCCTTTCCCGTAAAAAGCCACCAAATAAAAATAGAAAAAGGCTCGATGTTCTTTGTCGATCTTTTTGAAGAGATCAGCTTGTCGAACCTAGAAAAATATTTTCATCCTTTTCTTTAATAACTACCGTAAATACTGTAATAGTACCCCATCCCCATAATGACGGTGCGGAGTGTTGCGTAGTCTAGCTTTAAACGAGTTTTTCTCGACACTGGTTTATGCTACAATGCGCGCTTAGTTATCAAAAAATAGCCCTGAATTTCAGCTATTTTTTGATACCAAAGACACATTTTCTGAAAGTACGGGCGCTTTGAAAACAAGAAATAATGAAATACTTGCGACTACGCGACTGTACGAGGGGGAGGGGGTACTATTATAGTATTTGTATCTACGGTAGCTGATTTCTAACGACAAGGTGATCTCTAACCAAAAGTTCGGCCATCTTCTCATAATCGTAGTCCACCGTGTAGTAGATTTCTTGCAGTTGTCGCAAAATGGCAACTGAGTTCTCCCACATGTCGCCTAAATGAAAATTTTAATGTTTTCAATTTTTAAAACAAACCTTTTGAATAAAGATCAGCAGAACTCAACAAGAGTTGCTCTTTTAACTGTCTTTCAGTTGCACAATGACGATTGAGCGAGTTCCCGATAAGAAACTCGGGCAACTCTCGTTCTTCCCACTAAAAATTTTCAAAAAGTTTTATTTTCAGCTTTAATCTTGTCATGTACAACAAAAAAATTACTTTATTACTTCATTTACTTTAGGAAATTTAAGCACACTAACCGATAACTTATCAGCATGCATCAGCAAAGCTTTAGCCGCTTCGATATCATTTCCATATTGCATATGCAATTCATAAAGTTTGTAGACGTAAGCAATTTGCAAGTTGAACAAGTCGTATTGTTCATAGAAACGCTAAAAATTCAATTGGGAAAGGTCGAATAGGGATGCCTTTATTAAGGTTCTCTCACGGTTTTGAATTGTGCCTTGTTGATCTAGTGGATAAAGCGCTTGCCTACGAAACGAGAGCTGCATGGTTTGCTCGAGTTCAATTCCTCTTTGGGTTGATCCCGATCCCGGCGCTTCAATTCCTTTTGTTTTGCGTTTTAGTGTTTTAACCCTTGAATTTATCTGGCCTTTAAACTCTTTGAAACGTTTCTACTATAACATTTTATAAACCAGCTGCGCTGGGCGTCCGCTACGCGGCAGCACGAAGAAATTGCCCATATATAAATTTTCTATCCAAAAATATAGCATACATCGAAATCGGTCAACTGGGGCCGAGCCCTGAGTACCGTCTACGCCACACTCCGTTTGGCCAAACTCGTTTGCTAACTTGCACACAGGCCTGGAATCTGACTTCAGGCTCGGCATCAGCATAGTCGAAAGCCCTCGGGTATCAATTTCCAGCCCGAAAAACCCATTCCCTGTTTTTTTCTGACGGACGAACATTTCACAATTGCATAATTCATGGCGAAGACAACTTCTTCCACTAAATAACAAAAACGTAAAACAATATTCCGCGGTCTGGATCCGAACCCACGGCCCCCAGATCTGGAGACCGGCGCGCTATCCTCTCGGCCACACCTGCTCCTCGACGTCTTGAAAAATTTTCGTGCGCACAGACGGACGGACGGACGAACAGAAAGCCCTCAATTATATAGAGTAGATGGTGCGCGATTGTGTGTGTAGACAGAGAACAGTGGAAAAGGCAAAACGAAAGTCTTGCCCAAAGGGAAACGAACTCGAGCAAGGAAATGCACCGTTTTCTATGCGAGCGCTTTATCCACTAGAACATGAAGGCAAATTTGAGATCCGTGAGAGAACTCTTATAAAAGCCTCCCTATTCAGCTCCAAATTTTTGCATTTTCATTTAAAACACGTATAACTTTTGATAGAAGGCTATTTTGCAAAAACGGAAAGCAGATTTGGAATCGGCGTGAAATTCTGCGTCGACTGGCCTATGGCTTAACTTATTTGACCACATTCTACTGCTGCCTTTCCCTTGTAAGGTTTAATGCTTTTTGTTACCAGCAATTGCACGGTTCGGCTCATATCGATCTCAATGCAGTCAGCCGATTCCTTTGCATAGCGATATTCGAATAGATGACCTAAGCATAGAAACTGGATTAATCTGAGGTGACAATAAAGTAAAACTCTTGAACTTGTATTTAATTTGGAAACAATTCCGTACCTAAAAGCCTCTTGATCCGACCGACAAACTCCTTTCCTCCATCGTTCCAAAGCTCTTTGTCAGATCTAAACTTTTCCCCATTGTCAGTAAGGTTCAAGGAATGAGTTTAGATTATTAAAAAGGCAATTTTGCCTAACCTATCATTTTCAAAACCTTACTGGCAGAGTTGATTCATCAAGTTGACAAAGTGTCTCTGAAAAGATCGAGTCCCGTGCTCTTTCATCACAAGTTGATCGAGTTGACTAATGAATTCATCGGAGAACTGAATTAATTGATCGATTATAGATTAGTTTTTGTTCAAACCCTGCTGAAGCTTTTCATTAAATCGAGTTGATATTCACTTTGCATCATGTCGAAGAAAATAGGAATCGTGGCTTCACGAATTTGTTCATCGGGAATCAAGGCGACTTGGAGGAAAGAGCCGACAAGGCGAGGAATGTACTGCATCTTGTGGGAGGCTGAAATATTAGGTTTATAAGCCTTTTCGTTCCTTTTCGTACTTCCGTGAAAAACGAACGAATGCACCATGTGAACAATGGTTTATTTCATTAGAAATTCCAATTATTTTTCTGCAAATAACATTAAAACTCTATGTCTGGATTTTTTTAAGAGCGTGAAGTCGGGTAGTCAAAAAGAGCGCTCGATGCTGCTGTTTAGACAATTTAGCTAAGGAAACCTATCTTGGTGTCAATAGATAAAAGATAGAGCACAAAAAGTTAGATAGGTAGTCAAATTTTCAGAGAAATGGATGAGCCACCGGATGAGCCACCGGATGAGCCACCGGATGAGCCACCTACAAAGAAAAAGTGAAAGCCTGAAGTTCTGAAGACGAGACCTGAAGATCTGAAGATCTGCTGCAAAGATAACCAAGGACGTTTCGATCATTGCGGCGGTAAGTTATTTCAAGGTTCCTGCGTCTAATCTTTCGTCAAACAAGCGGCCGAGCTCGAGAAGATTCACGGGAAACGCAAGAGACTTGATGGAGCCGGACGCTACTTGAACTCGAAGAAGATTGATGTTGGTTTGGCTGAATGAATCCGAGAACACCGAACTGAAAAGAATCGAATGACTCGTCGAATCATTTGGAATGAGGCAGCGGAACTCATCGATTTACTAATAAATCGATTGCTTTCAAGAGAAGTCATGGATGGATGGAGTCATTCTTGAAATGACACCAATTCTCCTTGAGGGCTACAACATGTCAAAAGGTGCCAAGCGAATTCGAGATTATCAACCAGATTCTATTGACGATCAAAACGATCGACAAGGGAAATTCCAAGCACGTCTTTGCTTGTGATGAGACAGTATGGTTGGATGCTAGGGTAGAAGGGGAGGAAAAAATAAAACATCATGCCGTTCAATTACAGTATTTACGGTAGTAGTTCACCATTTCATATTATCTAACTGGTAAATTGGTATTCATTAGTAGATTTTGATGAAACTTACGAGTCAAACGGAACCACATTGATCGCAAATCTTTCGCAGCTTGTCTCCTCAACCCTGCCGCCAATTCCTCTTCATCATTCCCATCTCCATTCCGATTCACTCCGACTTGACTGATGAAACAAACCACAGTCAGAATGTATTCTTGAGCTAGCTGAAGAGCTCATTTTATCAATTCCAAAGTTCACAACTCACATCATACATATCATTGACCATCTTTTCCGATGTGAAGTACTTCTGGATGCCGCTCATGATGAAGCGAAGTGTCTTGTGAACAACTCTAGAAACTTTGGATGTAAATTTTTCGCATTAACTCACTTGTTCTGAGCTAAAGTCATCTGTGCCCAAATCTGGGGATATGGGCTTTTTCCGAGGCAATCTCTCAACATTTGTAACATTTCCAAGAGTAGATCCATCTTGTCCTGTTCTTGAGGTCTAGCCTCGAGAAATGCGACAAAAGTTTGAGCCGACATTCGATTGAAGAGAGCCAAAATCACAGCAAAAAGAAGACCTCGACCGTCAGAAATCTCTTGCTAAAGATAACGTTTTCAATTTTACAAATAATAGCTAAAGTTTTAAACTTTACAACAACACAAACATCTGATTCTCGATGAGTCTTTGAGATTTGAACCATCGATTTGACGAGTGGCCGATAGCAGTTTTCAACGATCGTCCCGAATTCTTCATCACTACCAATTGGAGCTCTTTGCTGAGGCCAGAGTTGATCAAGAATTGTTCCTACAATTGCTATTCACTTTAGATTCAAGATTTAGAATTCTAACAAGAAGAATGGAGTCATTATGGGTTTTTGAACCTTGACAGACTCAATTTGAGCTGCCGGACCTGAATCTGTAATCAGTTTTTGCTCGATCATATGAAATCGATAGGAAAATAGAGCGGAAATTTTTGGGGGGCTTCATAAGGTGAAGTTAAGCCGGTGGAAAAAGTTAATCGATGGCCGACTGGTAGGTCGCTACGCTACAAGGTCGACTGGGTTCGCTAGGAGATAGATTCGATCCCTGGCACTCGAATCCTCTTTTGCTTTTTTGAGTTCAATCTTTATTGACTTTTTTAGTGACCTCATTGACGTTGACATTGACTTTATTGAGTTGTTCATTGAATTCATTGACTCCATTGACTTCATTGACTCCATTGACTTGTTCATTGACTTCATTGACTTCATTGACTTCATTGACGAAACTAGCTTGTTCCCCTTGTATCATAGCAACTTACCAGTCGGTCACCGGAAAACTTACAGCAGCAGCTCAAATTCGCCTTATCAAGACCCCAAAAAATTTCCGCTCTATTTTTCGTAAAGAATTGGGCAAAAACTAATTACAGATCCGGTCCGGCAGCTTAAACTGGGCATGATGAAGCAATTGAAGTTCAAAAAAATCCATAATGACTCGATCCCTTCTTGTATGGTTACCCAAAATCCTTCCAGCAGACACGGCTGCCTTGGCTGCCTCTTTGCAGAAAAGCTCATCCACATCTAGACGAGCTAATAGCTGTTCGATACATTTTACAAACAGATCGTTTCTCCAGAATGAATCCTGAAACAGGTTTTAAAGAATAATCACCATTTCTTCACCAAGAAGAGTTCGCTTTGGACAATTTGTCCGACAAAATGGAGTCTTTCTTGTTGAACAATGTTTGGGCCAAAAGCATCAATGATTCGAACGAGTTGTCTACTGAAATTAAGATTTTCATGTTTAAATCAAGTCAATTTAAATCAATCAAGTGAACTTACGTTAACTTGGCTGTGTCGAAAACTTGAACAAGGTAAGGGATTGCATCGGGGAAATGTCTCAACGCTTTATTTTGCATAGCCATTCTCTCCTTTGTTTCACCCATCAATCTCACAAAACTGTCCAGCATCGAGTCGATCATTTCCGAGAAATTAACCACTGGTTCTTGAAGCCTAAAAGTTAAAGTTTTAAAGTTAAAGGTCTTCTTTTTAAAAATTGAAAACTAAGCAAGATTAAGCAAGTAAAACTTCAAAAGCAAATGTAAACAATTAATGTCACCGAAATGCTGGAGTGTGGCTCAGTTTCCGACCCGGCTTGGGTGGAATGGGTGGTTTTTTTTTACGGTTTCTAGATTGAAATTCTAGTGTTTAACTAGTCCTTGAGTTTCTAAGCTTTTCGAGAATTCAAATCACTCACTGATCAGCGCTTAATTTGCTCTTCACGATGAGTTGTGTCAAGATTCCGAACATCTTCAGTGTATTCATCGTTTTGTCATTCTTGCTCGTGTCCGCCGATGAGAGATAGTGATTGACTCCTTCGATTAGTTTGCTAAAATTTTCATCATTTCTTTTAATTGTTGCTAAATTTACGGTGCAACTGTAGTGAATGGGAATCTCGAAATGTAGTTCTTTAAAGCATTCGATGAGGAATGCTTTGGCTGGTCGTCGGCTAATCGCAGTACTGCCACCAGGGCATCAAAGAGACACAACTTGAGGGCTACTTTTTCGTTCATCGCCTAAAAATGGCTTCACCAGTATACTTAAACAAATAAGGTTTTAATTCTATAACCATTTTCGCATCATTCAGACAAAAATGGTATCATCACTTCCATTTTTTTTGTCAACTCTGGCTCAATAGCTTGATTATAAATTCTTTTTGCCTTTTCTTGTTCTTAAAAGTATTATTTTGTGTTAATCTTTGGGAGTGGGACAAATGCGACCTTTTTTGCGCACCCGGATATTTGCGCACCTTTTTTTCCGCACCTTGCCCATTAGCGCACCTTTTTTCGCGTTTTAAAAAAGCTCTAAAAAGCTAATATTAACCAATTTCTATTCCAAAAGTTGTTTTTCTAGGTAATTTTAGGGCGTAGAATCGAAATTTTGACATATCAGAGCTGGTGGAAACAAACGGACGGAGTTATACAAAGAGAAAGACCGACAATTTTCTGTAATTTGATCTAGCCGTTTTGTCTTTCAAATTGGTTCCACACGTGCTGTTATGTCAAAATTTCGATTCTACGCCCTAAAATTACCTAGAAAAACAACTTTTGGAATAGAAATTGGTTAATATTAGCTTTTTAGAGCTTTTTTAAAACGCGAAAAAAGGTGCGCTAATGGGCAAGGTGCGGAAAAAAAGGTGCGCAAATGTCCGGGTGTGCAAAAAAGGTCGCATTTGTCCCACTCCCTTAATCTTTCACTAAACAATGTATGTAACAATGTAAAAAATGACTTACTTCAAAAAATGTATCCAATAAAGTGACCATATTCTTCATCAGCTCAACTTCCAGTGTTGACGCTCGCTCATAGGATCGATTTGTTAAGGCGACCAATGAGGCTTCAAAAATCGATTGATGAGCAACTCTGAACAAAATAAATGTTAGACTTTAGCTGTATTTGAAAATATTATGAGGAACACTCACTTCCATCTAAAGATGTTGAGTAGATCCTTGTCGTGAGTAAGAAAATTCGTGCATGATTGCGTTCGCACCACGAATGAGCCTTTCTCCATCAAAGAATAGTGCGAGTTCTGGGGATTTTTGACTAAAATTTAGAAATTATCTAAATCTAAACTCAAATTTCTTACCATTATTCCCCAAAGAGCCTTTGCTTTCCGGAAAGTCGAGATAGGAAGTGTTCATCTCGTCGTAGTTTTGAGAATCAACCTGAAACTTCTCTATTACACAAGGGATTTGTTTATATTCGTGTTTTCCTCGCGATTGATACGTTTTCTAAAACATGCGCCCAAGAAAAAGTACCGTAATCCCGTCGAGAAAAACGCAAAATTCAATAAATGCAAATTTTGCAGCAAAAAAGGTCGATTTTTTATCATTTTTCAATCATTTTTTTCTAAGCGCTGGTTAATGCTAAAAATATGTGTTATGTCTCAAAAAATCACCCATTTTCTCTACTTTAATTTGATATCAAAACGCGCAGAAACAAACATACTGGTGTCGAGATATGAGCGTTTGTTTGAGTGTAGTGTTCTTTGAGTTCTTTGAGTGTAAACTTTGGTTACGCGACACTCCTATAGGCGGCTTCTATTAGAGTATTTACGGTAATTAATTGATCGCGGGGAACACTACTTGTTTATAGGCATCAATTATTAAAATTTACCTTATAGACGAGCAGCTCATATTCGTTATCACCGGCCATAATTGCTTGATCGAGTAGTTTGAGGAAAGCAATCGCAACAGGTCCTTTCTCGGGCTTGTTCTTGTCATAAACTTTTCGTGCATGGAATGTGAACCTGAGATGCACATCCAGGTTGATGCTTTCTGGTAGTTTTATCTGAAATTGATTGATTTTCCAAATACTGTCAAAGTTGGTGATGCCTGTATTGGCGTTGACTCAGAATTCTTAAAAAATATTTAGAGACATGAATAATGTGGTATAAACAATATACAAGCACAATCCTTAAGCCCTAAATGTAGGAAAGAAAAAAACCCATATATATGCTAAAAAAAGAACCAATGATCTAACCTGCGGGATTGAACCCTTCAGCTCCCGACTAGGATACCGGGATCTTAGCTAGTTCGGCCATGGCGGCCGTCTTTTCCCTAATAGTAGTGTACCCCGTCGAGCCGAGTTAGTGACTATTTTACGGTTTCCAAGCTTTTGCAGAAGCTCAACACTCAAATCATTCACTAGATCTCATCGTCAGCTACATTTTCCGACCCCACATCGATAGGTTCTGATAAGCGGTTCTCGAGATTTCGAGCAATTTAGACGACGACTACCCTTCAGGGAAGAACTAGAAGTTTCTAGATTCAAGCTTTATAGTTTGATTGAAGACCTTATAGATTATAGATTATAGATTTATTTAAGACGTTATTGAGTTTTATAAATTGATTTTAAGACTTATCCTTACTCAAAAGTGAAACTTAGGTTGATCATAAACCTTTTGCCTATTCCCTTGTCACAGTTTGGTTCAAAAAGCAGCGTTTGTCTTCCGAACTAACCCTAAAACCTTTTCTAACCTAAATTTTCATTTATAACTAGTATATAAGCAAATTGAAATGACTAATGCTTAATATGTTTATCATAATTTAATCATAGACTAATTACTGTATTTTCTCTAATAGTAGTGCATCTCGCTGAGCCGAGTTGATGACTATTTGAAGGTTTCTAAGCTTTTGCAGAAGCTCAACACTCTAATCCCCCACTAGATCTCATCGTCAGCTACATTTTCCGACCGCACATCAATAGGTTCTGATAAGCGGTTCTCGAGATTTCGATCAATTTAGACGACGCTCTGGGTGCACTACTATTAGAGAAAATACGGTAATATTAAATATCTACTACTCTAGTCCTTCAGGGAAGAACTAGAATTTCTAGATTCAAGCTTGATTGATTGCTTTATTGGTTGACAAGATTAATTTAAGACTTTATTGACAATAGATTATAGATTTATTTAAGACGTTATTGAGTTTTATAAATTGATTTTAAGACTTATCCTTACTCAAAAGTGAAACTTAGGTTGATCATAAACCTTTTGTCTATTCCTTTGTCACAGTTTGGTTCAAAAACAAGCGTTTATCTTCTGAACTAACCCCAAAACCTTTTACTAACCTAAATTTCCATTTATAAATAGATAGTATTCTTAAAATGTAACTTAAACTTAAAAGTTTTTTCGTTCCTTTTCTTATTGAAAAAATGAAAAATGACTATTTTACGGTTTCCAAGTTTTCGCAGAAACTTAACACTCTAATCCCCCACAAGATCTCGTTATCAGCTACATTTTCCCACCCCACATCGATAGGTTCTGATAAGCAGTTCTCGAGATCTCGAGTAATTTAGACAAAGCTCACTACTATTAGGGAAAATACGGTAAATTGCTCTGCAAAAAAAGTCCAACCTTAATTGGCTCCAACCATTTCGGCTTCTCCTCATGCAACACAACATAAGAATGATAAGATGAAGTGTTCATATTCCCTGTTGGCTCAATGAATTCGAATCTCTGAAACTTTACAATTAAAACTTAATCACTGAAAATTGTTTACCTTTTCCAGAATCTGAGCATCACAATCCAACAATGAAAGTCGACATTCAATGTTTTTATCGGTGAACTTTCCATAGATCTCAGCGCAAACGAGAGTTAGATAAAAGTCGTTTCTCATCGTTTCTAAAAGGAGTGATAATGAGATGGAATGAGATAATTTAACTAATGTAATTCAATTACCATTTATTGTCACCATTGAGAGACTAGTTCTCAACACAGCAGCTGGTGGAGATCTCGCGAAAACATGCGGAAATTTCGTTTTCAGCGACTTTTCTGCTCCATTTAGGCGTTGAAGGGAAATCATCTAGGAAGAATTTAATACCAAAGCTTTAGCATAATCTTTAGCATGAATTCCCATGTTAAAACTCTTACTGCTTTGCAGTCTTCATCGGCTCGAATTATCGTCGCATTCTTGATATTTGTCAATCTGTCCAAGACGTTCAACTTTTTCAACGTTTCAAACAGAGAGTCATCACTAAACAAAGAATTTCTGTGTTTTCATTAAAACTTTTCACAAACCGATTGAAAAACACGATTTTCTCTAGAATATCCCCTTTATTGTCGCAAAGCGGCTTCAAGTCGATGATATCGAAAGCGATCAATTGACGACAGTACAACGATTGAGGGCCAGGTTCGAGTTGTTTCTAAAAGCATTAATGTCAAACTTATCAAAGTTATCAAAGTTTTGTTTCTAAAGCTACAATCTTTAAAATCAAGATACGAAATCGAAACTTTAAAATCAGATACCTCTCCTGATTCGATTTGTTTCTGAAATTGATGATTATGGAGCTAATCAGGGGCTTAGACTTAGGCTTAGGCTTAGGCTTAGGTTTAGGTTTAGGTTTAGGTTTAGGTTTAGGCTTAGGCTTAGGCTTAGGCTTAGGCTTAGGCTTAGGCTTAGGCTTAAGCTTAGGCTTAGGCTTAGACTTAGGCTTAAACTCAGGCTTAGGTTTAGGCTTAGGCTTAAGCTCAGGCTTAGGCTTAGGCTTAGGTTTAGGCTTAGGCTTAGGCTTAGGTTTAGGTTTAGGTTTAGGTTTAGGCTTAGGCTTAGGCTTGGACTTAGGCTTGGACTTAGGCTTAAACTCAGGCTTAGGTTTAGGCTTAAGCTTAAGCTTAGGCTTAGGCTTAGACTTAGGCTTAGGCTTAGGCTTAGGTTTAGGCTTAGGCTTAGGCTTAGGTTTAGGTTTAGGTTTAGGTTTAGGCTTAGGCTTAGGCTTAGGCTTAGGCTTAGGCTTAGGCTTAGGCTTAGGCTTAGGCTTAGGCTTAGACTTAGGCTTGGACTTAGGCTTGGACTTAGGCTTAAACTCAGGCTTAGGTTTAGGCTTAGGCTCAGGTTCAGGCTCAGGCTTAGGCTTAGGCTTAGACTTATTAAGGCTCAGGCTTAGTCCATCGAATGATACTAATAGCATACAAATGAGTATTATTTAAGCTCCCTTCTTCAAACAAATTAATTGGTTAAAATTTGCATTTAAAATTTAACTAATGAGTCATACATTAACCAACAAAAACACTGGCTAATATACTTTTAGAGTACCGCCCAACAAGAGTCCCCCTAAAAGTATTCTCCTTGCCATTGGCAATCTACGGCATTTTCTCGCGAACTAATGGATCAATTTTTGTGCTTTTAGTACCATTCGATAAATGATTTAAGCCTCCATCGAATGGTACTTAAATCATAAAATTTATTATTATTATTATTTAAGCTCTTAGGCAAAAACAGCAGCGGACCTAGGCAGTGTCGGGGTGGGCGAGCATAAACCTGCTCTTGATTAGTACCTCATGAGCAGAACATAACTGCTTCTTTGAAAATTGCGAGTTAAAAGAGTTCTATGTACAAGAGACTACTGGATGTTCTAAACCGATAAAGTGTTTCGTTGAAAATCTTAGTTCGTATGTTAGCTTTGATATGACACCACGATCCCAGTAGAAAGTTTCAATTTTATGGCAAAAATTTCATGACGGTGATCCATATGGTGGTGGCAGCCATGGTGGCTCAGAAAATTTCATGTTTAGGAAGTCATAAAGTCGGGAAAAAGCCAAATAATATAAAAAATTTGCCCACCCAAAATATTCACCACAACAACCACCAGAAGCCACTAGAAATTCTGAGAAAAATTGCGCTGAACTGACTTTTTTTGAAACACCCTGTATTTATTTAAAGGAGACTTCAAGCTTTCAAAAGATGTAGCTTAATAAACAACATTTGGTACATTACGAGTGAGATTTGGATGATTTCTGTGAATGAAGCATTCAGGTGCCTCCAAAATTCTGTCCCACCCTTATTTTTGCAAAGAAACAAAGTAAAAACTACATAATTTGCAGATTCTATTCGCATTTATCCATTGCTTAATCAGACGTTTGCCGATTAATGATGCTTTTAACCAAAAAAATATGCAAATTTAACCCAGAGCAGCTTACTCTGTTGGTACCGAGCAGACTATGAGTTGCCTCAACTATAGCTGAGCTAATGGTCAGTTATGGTTGAGCTCTTACCTTCAATGTGCCACTTGTGGATTCGATTGGAGCAATCCTTGCAACCCTTGCCAACAGAATAAGCCTTCTTTCTTTATCTTTTTGATTGAGATCATAGAAAAGAGCACGAACATTCGCGTCTCGAAGCTTTTGCGTCTCGTGATTCCAAATGAAACGAAAAGGCTCACTGAATCTTGTATATGAACAATCTTTCACCAAGTTTACAATAGTAAAACTAACCCTTAAACTTTAAAAAGTTGTTTATTACCTCAAAAACGTCGAATTCGAGAGATCATAGATCTGATAGCTCAACTCGCAATCGTATCTTTCCTTGATCGTCACCGAATTTACTTCAAAGAGAATCGAGAATATATCATTGGTTGGGTCTTTTGAGGAATCATTCTGAAACAGTGATGAGTTTTATTGATTGTTTAAGGAACTAGTAAAATTCATGCTTCATACTGTTTTTCATGCCGAGAAAATTCAGGGAGCTGATCAAAAGAACGCCATTACAAACAGCGCCATTACAAACAGCGCCATTACAAACAGCGCCATTACAAACAGCGCCATAAATTTTCTCAGCATGAAAACATGAATTTCACTAGTTGTCGATTGTTTACTTTACCGGATCAATCGTCATCTTCAGCTGTGTCTTTTTATGTTCATCGTAGAGCTCGATTAGACTCAAATCGTCTAGATTTGTTGGCTGACCATTAGTCTTTCGAATGACAACATTCAATGAGAGAAGCCTTAAAGTTTTGCTGGTTTGCTGGTTTAAGAGTACTTCAACTTACATATTCACCCTATCGATACTCGAGCTGGTGGCGTTGTTGAGATGAGCAATCTCTTCAGATGGAACTCCTCCAGCCAACAATTTCTTCCTTGTCCTCAATAAATCATCCACTGTTCCCAACACTTCTTCCACCCAATGCAATTCCGTGTTCTTCGCATACAAATCCTGAAAGAAAGCGCAAAAAAATGTTTTGACTATTGCGAAAAATCGATCAATTTTCTCACCTTTATTCTCGACCACCAACTTTGAAGAACTTTTCCGATTTCTTCTGCTAATGGAATTCCCTCAGATGGACTTGGCAGGTCATCAGTGTGCTTTCCGTTTCCATTTATTGCACCATTTAGTAATCCCGATAATCTGAACTAATATTTATAAGTTTCTCAATCTCAGTAATCTGTTTTTTTTTCGTTGTAGATACAATTTGAACGAATTTGAAATTTGAATTTGAAGACAAGAACGATTTGAACAATTCTTGAAGGCAAGAACATTCATTACTCGGGTTTAATTCCAGTATTTTACTTAAAACATCTCATTGTCAGTATTGTCTTTGAAAAATAACCAGGATCTTTACGGTAACCAGGATCTTCATGGGGGGCAAATCTTTGACCATTTTGCAGCCCGATTTTAGATAGGTTTTTTGTTATTAACTTTTGATGAAACAAATAGTTTCTGAAAATTGACGTTTTAAGCTATTGAAATCTTATTAAAGTTTCCTGATCTGACAAGTTTAAGGTGCTTAAAAATGAGCTGCAAGTTGGCCAAAAAATTGATAATTGCTCTCGATAATTGCTCGACCCTCCCGTTAACCGTAAAGCTCCAAAAAACAGTTTCTCAGAACAACAGTTTAATTCTCAGAAATCCACTGAAATCTGTGCTTGCTTTTTCACATAATTCCACTCACCTCAATCGTGAACTAATATTCTTGACAGCAGCTTCCGGAAAAAGACCGCTAACCGATGGAGAGTCGACCTTATAACCATAGCACCAACCTAGTAGAATTTACATTAAACACAACCAAATAAAGAGTAATACCGTATTTACTCTATTAGTGGGGTCCTCTCTAATAGTGGGGTCCTCTCTAATAGTGGGGTCCTCTCTAATAGTGGGGTCGTCTGGAGGGGGGTTGAAAAAATAGTGGGGTCCTCTCGAATTGGAAGAAGATATTGGTAACGAAAGTGATACATCAATTGTTGATCTCTTGGATTAGTTCTTTTACTGTTTGTTAATGTTTTGTTACGGTTAAAGCTAAATAAAATATGAAGCCAAACTTGTTTTGTCAAGAATTTCGGAGAAAAATTGATATCTTTTCAATTTAAAACTTTGGTTTTATGTTCTTTTAAATTTCTCTAATAGTGGGGTCCTCTCTAATAGTGGGGTCGTCTGGAAGGGGATTGAAAAAATAGTGGGGGACCCCACTAATAGAGTAAATACGGTATACCGTAAATAGAAGAGTAGATAGAATAGTTTAATAGAAGCCCCCTATAGGAACGTCGCGTCGTTTAAGTTTACACACAAAGAACCACTCAAATCTTGGTGCTCAGACGTTTGTTTCTGCGCGCTTGGGTATCAAATTGGGAGAATTGGTGTTATTTTGAGCTATAAAACATTTTTAAAATTAACCAGCGTTTACTAGGGAAAGACATGGAGTTGTCTGTCTTTTAAAGTTGTCTTTTAAGAGATGGCCTTTTAAAATAGATCTAAAATAGATTTAAAGACCTAGATCATCTTTTAGAGAGTTTTATGGGGATTGCTTTTATTTCTAGGCAATGCTGCTTTTAGTTTTTTCAAAGGAGCTCTGTAATGCGAGTTGTTTAGTAAAAAAACGTTTTGTTGGCATACCTTCTTAAGGGTTACGCACTCTTGACGAGCGAATGTTGCGGTGGTGTAGTGGGTAGTGTGATGGAATACGAAACATTCAATTGATTTTGCATGGGTTCAATTCTGCACCATGACAAACTTTTTGCAAACTTTGATAGACAAAATTTTTTTACTAGTTTTTGTTGATCAAAAACGGTCTAATAAAAGAAAACAAGTGAAGAAAGAGTCAACAAATACTTTCTAGCAAAACTATTGGTGTTTCTTTGGTAGAAATCTCTATAAAAACTCTTCTCTGAAGCAAAACACCAAAAATTTTCTTGTTTTGTTTCTATTTTTATTTATTTGTTTCTGTTTCTATTTATTATTGTTATATCTCATCATCCCTACTTTAATTTGATTCCAAAGCGTGCAGAAATAAACGTACTGGTGTCAAGATTTGAAAGTAAATTTAAACTACTCCTAGAGCGGGCTTTTAAACGCTCCTAGAGCGGGCTTTTATTAGAATTTTGGTAGAACTATTAGGCTCTTCTATTTGATTAGAGTATTTAGATAGTTTTCCAAATAGTTTTCCAAATAGCTTTCCAAATAGCTTACCATCTTTTGTCGCTGTTACACACAGTCGATCACCGATATAAATGGGCAAGACACCGGCCGGACCCGAGCATTCCTCGGTACTCGAGTAGTTTGAATTGGCTGAAGAACTGACATGATTTTCGTTCAAATTTAAAATAGTTCCAGTGATTGGTTGGTTCAGGGGATTTGTTAAACATATTATTGCCTGGTTTTTTTTTCTTTTATGCATAAGATTTTGTTCTCTTTAGTAGACTTTTATCACTCAAAAACAAACCGAGCACATATCGCTTGCGTTGCATCTCTCAAAAGCTCGCATGCATCGAAAAAGGAAACTCTGTAATGCAATTGAAATTCTCTTCTTTAAAATTCTAAAATCCTGAACAAGAATTCGTTTTCTAAAATTTAAAAGCAAAAGAAACGTTAGAAAAATCGATGAGGCAAAGTTCACGACAATTGACACAAACAATATTCATTTCTCTGTGAAAAGAAGCATTTTGCAAAAAATATTTATCTAATACTCATAGAAAAAGAAATAATAACAATAGAAATTGTCTAAATAAACTAGAAAATTTTTTGATCAAACGAATTTAGAGCGCGTGTGGATCTTGGGGTTTTTGGTGGGAAGCCTCGCAACGAGTCTTGCCCGAGATGTAACTTCCGGGAACCTGAATAAAAGAATTCATCATTTGCTTTATTTTAAAGATATAGATTTAAATTTAAAGATAAAGATTTAAATTTAAAGATAAAGATTAATTTAAATCTAAAATGTTTACATATTCAATATTATTTCTCAAGACTAAAAGCTTTTCCTAGTACAGCTACAAGCTACGAGTAATTTGATTTGAATCTAACATAATCTAACAGCTACAAGTAATTTGATTTGAAAAAAGCTTTCCACAGCTTTAATAAAGCTTCAAGAACAAAACAAAACAAGAACCTATGCTTCAAAAACAAAAATTCCTGATAAAGGAAATGTAAATCAAATTATTTGAAAAGTTTTTGTTGACAAGTGAAGTCGATTTCAAAAAAAGTGAGTTTTCTCCTTTTCTCAAATCGCTGACTCATCTGTTAGTCATTTCCGAAAAGAGATCAAAAAGGAAAAGGAGTGTAAAAGGAACTGAACACTTTTGGAGAATTTAGTGATTGATCGAACGTTAAATTCAGGGAGATGACAAGCTCATATAAACTAGAATAAGAATATTGGTGGGTAGCTGCAGTCAAACAATTTTAATTGAGTATATTAGGCTGTCCAAAAGGCTGTTTTTTGTCCCTTTTCATACTTCCGTTGGGAACTAACAAATTCACCAATTAAACTATGATTTTCTCTAAATAAAAAGTGTATTTTGTTCATTTTTCATCTTTTTAAGTCAATTTTGGTTCAATTTCAATCAAATTCGAGAGTGAAAAGTTCGTGTTTTTCGTAAAATTCTATAAAAACCTCTACGAAGAAATTGGCTGAATCAATCTCTCTGAAAATTTGGCTATATATCTAACTTTTTATGCTCTATCTTTTATCTATTGACACCAAGATAGGTTTCCTTAGCTAAAGTGTGTCTTTTCTAAAGCTAAAGTGTTCACATCATCGAGCCGTCGCTCTTTTTTGACTAACCGACTTCCTACTCCCATAAAAATCCAGAAATAAGACATTTTAAACCCGTTTTGATGTTATTTTGCAGAAAAATAATTGGCTTTATTGGCCTTAAACCCTGGTTCAATTGGTTCATTTGTTGGTTTTAAACGAAAGTACAAAAAGGAACGAAAAGACTTTCTGGACAGCCATTTCAAATGGCGCCAACTTTCAAAAGTTTTTCTGAAACACATAAAAGCTCCATATAATCGATTGTTTGTATAATCAAAAAGTGCTATCATTGCTGTACAAAATGGCTTTTGAGAGATTCCGAAAAGCTTTGTTTTGTGGATTTTATGAGCTCATAAACGCAATCAGTCAAAATGACAAGGAGTCCAATTCGTCGTTTGACTCATTCCTTACACATAAGCTTAACTTGATGTCAGAACAAAAAAGTTAGAGCACATTTAATTACATAAGTAGTCAAAGTTTTGTAGTGATCTTTTCAGTCATTATCTCTAAATGATGATTTATAGATTTTCTTAAAAAAGGATCTAAAAAATGATCTTTGGAATTTGAGCGATTTTTGAGATCTATTTCAAATATGATTTAAGTGATGATTTAAGATTTAAGTGATTTAAGTAATGATCAAATATGAAATAAGTGCTTTTTTTAATGATTCTATCTAATTCTAATAATAATTATTTGAATTTCTGATGAATAATTGATATAGACTATTCGATGTTATAAAAGTTTCTTTGAAAGTCGGCGCCATTTCATCCTCTCTAACTCAATAATAACTGTATGTCATTGTGTAATAACTCAATAATAATTGTATTCACGATCAACTCTTAATGCTTAACTCAAAAGAAATCCCATAATCAAAAAGTCTTCAACTATTTATCAATTTTTGATTTAATATTCTTTCATATTAACTTTCTCTTTTCGAATATAGAAATGACAAACCAAATATCCGACAGCATTCCTACGGCCGATCATTTCTCCGATAAAGAAGAAGAAAGCAATCTCCAATCCAACTGCCGTGTAAAGCAAGAGCTCCTAAAGTTGAGTATTATTGAAATGAGTCGGCAGCATCTGCATCTAGGTTCTAGCATCTGCATCTAGGTTCTAGCATCTGCAACAAAATCTCAAATAATCATATCCAACCAAATGCTTTGTTCAATTACTTACGCGAACGGTGTAGTTCTTGTACTCTTGATTCGAGATTGCTTTCACGACTTTCGCCCAATCAGCCTTAATGGCTGGGATGTCGGCCGATCGTGGAGGGGCGAGCTCTTTCTTGGCGACTTCCTGAAAAAGAAAATCATTAAAAATAATCAATCATCTTGTTTCTTTATTCAGTTACTTTTTTTCTTTCTTTCTTCTTTATTATCATACATATTTAGTCAAAGTTTATAGGATTTTGGCTATTATTTCTCTAATGTTATAGTAATTATTAGCTTTTACTAGTTCTTGATAACACCTTTTGCTTTTTGTTTCTTGTTTCATCAAAGAGCAAACGATAGCTTTTTATAAATCTTTATGATAATCAGAAATTGTCTAGCTTTGGGCAAAGTTTCATCCCGAGCTAATGGCTGAGCTTCAAGAAGCTAATGGCTGAGCTTCAAGAAGCTAATGGCTGAGCTTCAAGAAGCTAATGGCTGAGCTTCAAGAAGCTAATGGCTGAGCTTCAAGAAGCTTTTGTTTGCAATCAGTCTATTTAGATTCTTTGATCTTCTGTGTACCAGAAGCTATTTCTAAACCTTTTCAATTGACAATGTAAAGTAGATACTTTGAAGAAGAGAATTTGCATAAAAACAAGTAGTAGTTTTGAATTTTAACAATGATTTGAACAATTTTTAGTAGAAACAATAGTTTTGAATATCAAGTAGTTTTTCGAGAAACTTTGACACCTTTCAAACTATTAAAAGGTCGCTTGAAAGTGAAAAAAGTCAATTCATGTGGTTATGTTATGATTTTTACGCCGAATATCTTATCTAGGTGTTGATAAAGTATACTGGTAAGAAAAGTTTTTGAATTGGATTCTTTTCTGAAAAATTTTCTAGGGAGCCTATTTTGGAAGCCACTTTTTTCACTCTTTTATTCATAGCTCAACTTTAATTCATTCAAAAAAGGATTAAAATTTGCTGCCTAATAGACAATTGAATAATGAAAATGTTTCAAAAGTTCCATAGTTCAGTTCGGTTTTTGAAAAATCATAAAAACAAAAACTTTTGTTCTGCGATCTGGCCTAAATCAGAATCGACGGGTTTAAAAAAAGCCTCTTTAACCAACAATGTTTTTTTAACAAACTGGCTGTTTGTTAACTAACTGTTTGCTAACTAACTGTTTGTTAACTTTTTAACTTTTAACCAAAAATTAAACCCACCTTGAGAAGTTCCCAGCGTCGAGGGAATTGCTTAGCCTGATGTCTGTAGAGAACGCCCCAAAGGTTGGCCTGTTTCTCGAAGAAGTTCATCTTACGAGACGCCATCTTTACACCCTAAAGTAAAATGAAATCATTAAATAACTACACATAAAGAAAATCAAAAGATTAGCAACATGAAGGCAAAGAAAAATTCTTTGAAAGGACGTAGTTTACGTTTAGAACGTTTTGGCGAACGGGCGGCACAAAAACGACTCTTTGCGTCTCTTTGACTTCCCTGAAACAGGATCTTTTTTCTCTTTTGGCTCTATTAGACAATTAATATGTCTAACAGAGCCAAAAGGTAATTGAATTGAATGGCAAAACAGTTTATAAAATTTAGTAGACATATTCAAACGTAAATAATTCATAAAATCAACAAATCATTGGTCGGCTAATGGCTGCTAAAACCAAAATTGATTCTGATCGATTCTGATTTTTCTTGAGATGAAAAATTAGCGAGCTATGCCTTAAAATACAGGGTGACCAAGAATTACAACAATACACAAAAGGCCTAGCTTTTAACCAAATACACAAAAGGCCTGGCTTTTAACCAAATATGCAACCCATCTCGAAAAGTTAACTTAAATATCTTTATTCAACATATAACAGTAACAAATTAACAATTAAATTCAAATTTTCCTCCATCAGCATTCAGACAGGCCTGCAAACGTTTGGGAAACGCGTTGACCAACATATAACAGTTGGCAACATATAACAGTAACAGTAACAGTAAGCGCGTTGACCGCGGCGAGCAAATAGGCATCATCGAGGGTATCCCATGCTTTGATGAGCGCCTTCTTCAAACTTTCGATATTTTTATGTGGTTTTGCACATGCCCTGACTTCAAGAACACTCCAGACTGAGTAATCCAATGGGTTAAGATCGGGTGAGCTGGGTGGCCACTCAGAAAACGAGATGAAGTCCGGGAAGTCCGGGAATCGCTTGCCCGTCGCAGCAGATATTGAGATTTTGAGATTTGTTCTTCTTGTACTGCTTCATTTTCAGTTTTTTCTTGATGATTGTGCTGACGGAGCTTCTCTTCAGATCCATTTTCTGTGCCATTCCTGCCGATTGGTTAGGGTTTAATCTTAGATGATCGCGCACTTTCTTGACATTAGCCAGAGTAACCGCTGCTCGTTTTGCACCTCTTCCAGGGCGATCAGAAAATGTGCCCAGAGTTTCATAACGTTGAATGGTTCGAGAGACGAGGCTTCTGGGGACATTCAGGCGCTTTGAGATCTCGCTCGCATGAACACGCTGTTGCTTGAACTCAAGGATCGATTGTCGATGTGGAGACGCTTTCACCATTCCTGAAAACAACGATACTAATGTATTGAAAGTTAGTAATCATACCATAAAATAAGAAAAATACAAAAAACCATAAAAACAGGTGAGCAAAAAGTGAAATGGAGCTCATAATATAATACGACGTTGTTGCGGTAATTTTTGGTCACCTGTATAGTGCCGGGTATCAGATTTGTACATCTTACCTATAGATTTCAAGTCCAGATATGGTACATAAAGTATAGGTACTGAAACTACAAAAGTGAATCTTGTAATCTTTTGAATTCGTTTAGTTAATGGCTCCAATTGACATCACCGACAATTTGGGTGGCTTTCCTTGTTATGCCAACAATGCCACAGCAAAATGGCTGAATAAGCTGAGGTTCAAGAAGCTCTTCATGTGAATCTAGAATGGACTGAATGGAAGTGAAATGGAGCTCATAACATAATACGACGTTGTTGCGGTAATTCTTGGTCACCCTGTATACAAAATAACTAGAAAATGCCATTTTTATTTTTCTTGAACTTTTTCCCTTCAAAAATGAGAATCATGAAAGTTTAAAAGATCTAAAAGCACGACTTCCTGTTGTCGAAACCAATTACGGCCAAGATGCTAATGGCTGCTTAGGGACAAAACCCTTCATTCCCAAAAATCACCCAACAAGCACAATGAATCTTTTAGTAAAAGTAACTACTTTATTTTTACTCTGCACAAATTCTGGAAATGCAATCAAAATCGGTAACTACGCTTTCAATGAACTTGTTAACCCAGATCAGGTGCCATTCTTGCCGACAAATATGAGCTCCACATCGAGAAAGCTCTCACACAAATCATTCGAACGCTTAACAGAAGAGAGATTGCTGAATTCGATTGGTGTACAGTCAGTCAGATCTCCATTTTATTGGTGCCGATCAGTGATGCGGAGAGGTTGCGAAAAGAGTGTGAGTTTGAACAGAGGACTGAGGATTTGAAGATCAAATTTCTACACTAGTACGCAAAGAAAGAAATGTAGAAAATCGTAAAAAATGGCAGCGCGCCGGATCAAGGTCCACTGGTGCTCATTTAAGGATTGTTAAATGAGTTGCATAAATCCGATTTAGAAGCTTTTAGAAGATAAATGTAGCCAAGATTCAGGGCTACAATTCTCAACATAACATTTAATACTTTGAAATAAATTAAGAGACAACTACTTTTTCAAAAAGTTTCCGGGATAATCTTGCCCAACTCTTTGTTAGGCTGTCCAGAAAGTCTTTTCGTATTTTTTCTGTTGAAAAACAACAAATTCACCAATTAAACTATGATTTTCTCTAAATAAAAATTGTATTTTGTTCATTTTCCATCTTTTTTAAGTCAATTTTGGTTCAATTTCAAGCAAATTCGAGAGTGAAAAGTTCGTGTTTTTCGTAAAATTCTATAAAAACCTCTACGAAGAAATTGGCTGAATGAATCTCTTTGAAAATTTGACTTTATATCTAACTTTTTATGCTCTATCTTTTATCTATTGACACCAAGATAGATTTCCTTAGCTAAAGTGTGTTTTTTCTAAAGCTAAAGTGTCCGCATCATCAAGTCATCGCTCTTTTTGACTAACCGAATTCATACTCCCATAAAAATCCAGGCATAAGACATTTTAAACCCGTTTTAATGTTATTTTGCAGTAAATTAATGGGCCTTTCTAATGAAACAAACGGACTCAAAAGCGAGGTGTAAATCGAAAAGCATCCCTATTTAGTTTAAAATGGTCTATTAGGCTGTCCAGAAAGTCTTTTCATTCCTTTTCGTACTTCCCTTTAAAACCAACAAATTCACCAATTAACCTATCGTCTTTTCTAAATAAAAAGCGTGTTTATTATTCAATTTGCATCTTTTTAAGGCAATTTTGGTTTACTTTAAAGGAAATTCAAGAGTGAAAACGTGTTTTTCATAGAAATCTCTCTACGAAAAAATTGGCTGAATGAATCTCTCTGGAAATTTGGAAATTTCTAAAGCTAAAGTGTCCACATCATCGAGCCGTCGTTCTTTTTGATGATCCGAATTCATACTCCCATAAAAATCCAGACTTAAGACATTTTAAATCCGTTTTAATGTTATTTTACAGAAAAATAATTGGCCTTACTAATGAAAGTAACCGTAGTTGAATTGGTGCATTTGTTGGTTTTAAACGGAAGTACGAAAAGGAACGAAAAGACTTTCTGGACAGCCTGATTACTTGGCTGTCCAGAATTGAATATGAAGCAAGAATCGATCAATCAATATTCAAAATACACCGATTTACTGTTTAGTCAACCGTTTGCATGCAGCTGGACTAGATGTGATCATCGGCCCTTCCGATCCCTGGTCGAGCATTCTTTTGGAAACACTTTGCGCTGAACGAAAGATGCTTTATATTAGAAGGGCTCCTCACTGTGAATTCGCTATGCAAACTTCAAATACAACTTTGCCATTGACTGGTGAGTAAAGCTCTTTTTCACTAAGAATCCTTTTAGATTCGTTCACCAAAAACCTGGTCACTTCACTGCTCAACGAATGGAAATGGAACCAATTCACTATTGTGTATTCAAAGGATACTCGTAAGTTGTTGGCAGAGAGTTTTCTTCTCAATTTTGATTTTTCATCTCCTTGCCAAATTCACGAGATAATCACCGATCGTCCAAACGTTTTCCCGGATTTCTTGGAAGTTGAAGAGATTAGCCAAGAAGGGTTTATGATTGCCGCGACAAAGCTGAGGGATACATGTGATCGGTTTGCTCTTTGGGGTTTAGTTGATAATTTTTATGGTAATTACTATTGAGATTAGTAATCAATTTGTGCAATTCTTTCTACAGTGTGTTTGTAGAGTTTCTACTGCTTTTTTTGTTGGTTCTTTGCCTACCTTTGTCCTTGGAATCTAGCAAAAATATAACCGAATTGATTATAATTTTGTGCATTTGATTTACTGACTCAAAAACTGTATTTATTTGCGTACTGTTTTACGTCAAAGCCTAGTATATTGAGATTTCCATAAGATGACTCTACTGTACTTTGTGATTGAAAGATATGGGATCCAGCAAAAAAGAACACCGCCAATCGCTTCTCCGACCCCAAAAACCCTAAGGTACAAATTTATAGCTTCAAAGCTCTTCTGGATACCATTTTCAGAGCAAAAAGGTTTGCTGTGTAAACAAATTTTTGCGAACAACTTTTGCTATCAATTCTAGTCGGAACTGGCCGGTGAAAAATCTCAAATATTTGAAGAGATTTGAAGCTATAAATTTGTACCTTAGGGTTTTTGGGGTCGGAGAAGCGATTGGTAGTGTTCTTTTTGCTGTATTCCATCTCTTTCAATCACAAAGTATAGTAAAGTTATCTTATGGAATGTTTAACCTTTAGAAAAGCCTGCTGGAGTCAAGTGAATCGAGTTCTTTTACTAATGAATGCGCAGGATTCTCTCGATTTCCTCGATATGAGCCTCAAATTGGGTCTCATCAACTCAATCAATTGGTTTTTGCTATTCAACTTAGTGAGTTTACATAAAATATTTAACAAAACCTCTTCCAGGACAGTTTATATGAACACATGGAACCCTACTCACACAACAAGATGAGAATCTCATTGGTTGTGCCAAGGAATGTTCTCTCGAGTAGGTTTAGCATCATTTTACACTGACGATTTTTCAGGTGGAACAAAATCCGGCTTGTCGAAGAACTCTCAAAGAGTTCTTCAGGAAATTTATGCTGATTGGAGAAAGAACTACCCGCTGTATTTGAAATCTCCACAAAGAGACTTTTCTCAGCTCTTCGAGAGTGTCATCTTTGCTTATGAAGCTGCTGAAAAGAAGACGGTAAGTGAAGGTCTTCAAATAGTCATTAAACGATTGTAGTCGACTACAAAAGCAATGATTCCACCAAATTTGCCAGTGAACTCGTCACTGATTGATGTTTGGGAGCTGGGAATTAATGGACAACCAATTCATGCAAGTTTTGAGCTATTGGGTTGTCCAGTGATGAATGCGCGTTTTTACTATTTTGTAAATTTCTCAAGATATCGAACAGATGTATATGAGTGTTATATATCATTCGAAAGCTGAAGATCTCCTCTACATTTTGGAATAAAAAAGTTTTGAATTCATTCAACTTTTTGGGAAATTTACTGCACAAAGGGAGAGGTCGCTTTCGAAAAAACCCCATTTCAGCTTAGCTATTCCTCAAGTTTTATGGTGTAAAATAACCGCCCAGAAAAGAAAAGAAAAGTAAAGATGCTCTGAAATTGTTATATTTAAAAAAAGTTGTATTGATATATCTATTGGCCAAACATCAAACGGTCAACTCAATTTGAGCGGAGCCAAAACCTGATCCAAAGGCACCTTTCCATTTTTAGCCACCTCTTCTTCTGTGCAGTCAATTTGCCCAAAAGCCGAATAAATTCAAAAACTTTTTATATCAAAATGTAGAGGAGATCTTCAGCTTTCGAATAATACTCATATAAATCTTTTTCTTGATTTCGGTATCTTGTGAAATTTATAAAATAGTAAAAAACGCGCATTCATAACCGGACAACCCAATAGTTATAGACTAAGAAAGCTTCATGACGTTGAAAACTAGATGAAAATCCAACAGAACACTCATTTTAGCTCTCGAGAATTCGGGCATACTGTAGCCAAGACAAGAAAAAGAATTTTAAATGGACATTGAAAAATAAAAGAGCCGACTCTTCTTTTAGAAACTTTACGGTACTTGTACGATCCATTTAGACCGGAATCTGGAACTCAAGTGGTCACGGTAAATTGCTGATGCAAGCGAAAAACATTCCGTACACTCACGAGCATGCTATTCAACAACTTAAATCGGTAAAACGGCAACTTATATCCCCAACGCAACGATTTAGATGAGAATTCTCAAAGTGACGTCGATTGCTGAAAAGCCTTATGTAATGAAAAAGGTTTTGCCAAGTGGTCAAATTGTGTATGAAGGTTTCAGCAACAGAAATTCAAAAGCTCTAGAATGTTTTCAGGGTTTTGCGTTGATTTGCTTAATCGAATGGCTAAAAACTTGAACTTTGAGTATGAGCTGAATATCGTGGCTGATGGAAAGTATGGAGAGCCAAAGAAGAACTCGAGTGATTGGGATGGAATGATTGGAGAGATTTTGAGAGGAGTAAGGATACAAGAGGAAATGTTGGGTAAAAGGTTTAGGAAGCCGATATGGCGGTGGCTCCAATCACTGTAACAGCTCTTCGGCTTGAGGTTGGGTTTAGCTTCCCAGAGTAGATTAGATTAGATTAGATTAGATTAGATTAGATTAGATTAGATTAGATTAGATTTCCAATCTTAAGAATCTGACTTATTCGTGAATGCTAATAATTTAACAGAGCGCTAAAAGATTAAAGTACAGGTGGTCGACTTCACCGATCCATTCCTCCAACTCGGGATCTCGATGCTAATGCGAAAACCCGATCAGAAGTCACGAGTCAGCATCACATCGTTTCTTCTTCCATTAACTTCAAGGTGCATCAAAAAGTTCTTGTTTTAACAAAAGTTTACCGTAAATGTTGTATTAGAATGACACCTCATTTGGATTTAAAATAGAATTTTTTAATTTGCATTCAAAATTTGTATTCAAACTGGGCAGCTACCCAATCTTACACAGCTACGCAATGTTACGCAGCTACGCAATATTACGCAGCTACACAATGTTACGCAGCTACCCAATGTTACGCAGCTACTCAATGTTACGCAGCTACCCAATGTTACGCAGCTACCCAATGTTACGCAGCTACCCAATGTTACGCAGCTACCCAATGTTACGCAGCTACCCAATGTTACGCAGCTACACAATGTTACGCAGCTACGCAATGCTTCAAACTGGGCAGCTATGCAATGCAGCTACGCAATAATTCATTTTCAAAAGCACATTCTTTTCCTTTCATACCAAACATTAACACATTTATCTCTCTCAATTTTTTCGATTTTCGGCACCATTTCATTCTCCCCAATTGAATACTTTTACTTCAATCCAACGGATTACTTGCACGAATTCAATAACGGGGTTAAAATGCGGAAGAATTCGAGGAAAATTGGTTAAGATTTGTCGAAACATGATGAAAGAAACAATTTAACTGACTTAACAATGAGGAAATGAACAAATTTAAATAATAATAATAAATAACAATAATAATATATAATAAGATTGGGAGAGAAAAAGGTGTTTAGGCGAGGCAACAATTGAGCGAAATTAGTACTTTTTCGTGGTCTTTTCACATTTGCTTACTTTGGAACTAGTTTTGGATGTAAATTTGTAATGTTAAATGTAAATCGCAGCGGTGCTACTAAATCTTTAGCACGCAAGGTTCCAGTTTTTGGATACCATTTCCCTCAACTTTTTTAGAGTCTGGTCTATCACCCTTGTCGCCATTTTGCTCACCACAGTGATTCTCACTTTTGTCAGCTACATCACTGCAACTGACACGAAAAAGAGTTTTCCGATATTGGTGAGGAAAAAGAAAAAAAAAAAAAAAAATAAAAAAAAAAGGAGAGGGGAGAAGAGGGAAAGGGGGGAAAAAAAAAAAATAGAATGTTAACTGAACATTTACACTGATCATTTTCAGAACTCAATCTGGTTTCTGGCCTGCATCTTGTTGAGAGCCTCTTCCGGCTATGGATGTCCTACATTTGCTTCAAGAGTTGTCAGTACCGTGAGTTAAACTTAATAAAAACAAGCCAGGCTGTAGGCCAGACTCTTACAAAAAGCCCTTTAGGCTTGGTGGGCTTTCACCCTTGTACTCATCGCCCAGTATACAGCCAACTTTGCTGCTGTACTAACCGTTGCAGGAAGATCGATGCCATTCAATGTAAGTTGCCAACAATGTAATCTTCCCAATAACAGCCACATTGCTTTTCAGTCCTTCGAGGAGTTGGGTAATCAAACCGAGTATACGTTTGGCTCGATCTTTGGCGGCTCGACTGCTCAATTCTTCAAGTACTCTCGAATCGAGACTTTTGAGAAGATTTGGCAACGAATGTCGGCAATGGGAAACGAGTCATTTGTTTACAAGAATGATCAAGGAGTGAACAGATCGCTGGAAACGAAGTAAGCAAGCAAGCAAGCGAAGCAGCAATCAAGCAAGCTCAATAGAAATTTCAGTTTTTTTTGGTCCAAAGACGGCTGAGAAGCCTGTAGGGATGGACAGGCAGACAGACAAACACTGCTCTTTTATATTTTAGATATGTTTTCTTAATGGAGTCAGCCTCTCTCGAGTATCGAGTGGCTCAAAATTGTAACTTGACCAAAGTGGGGAATGTTGTTTTGGGATCAAATGGATACAGCATTGCTTTACCAAAAGGTTGAATGTTTTTGAAAGCTTAAAAAAAATTTGAACCAGGATCTCGTTGGAGAGAGAAATTGACTAGGCAAATCCTCGACTTCAATGAGAAGGGGATCATTATGATGTTGAAGAAAAAGTGGTGGACCTCGGCGCAAGACAGGTGAAAAGTGGCAAAACTTTCCATCTTTGAAGATCAGAATCAATTTTTAATCATAACCAAGTTTAGCAAATGTGTTGAAGAGAATCAAGTAGTTGGTCAACCTTTGGGAATGGACAGAATGGCTGGTAAGGCTTTTGGTGATGATATTGACATCAACAATGATCTATTTGCAATTTAAAAAGATAGGGAACCAAATTTAGAGAGATAGGGAACCAAATTTAAAAAGATAGGGAACCAAATTTAGAGAGATAGGGAACCATGGGTGGGACAATTTAGGATGGGAACCAAATTTAGAGATAGGGACCAAATTTAGAGATAGGGAACCAAATTTAGAGATAGGGAACCAAATTTAGGATAGGGAACCAAATTTAGAGAGAAGGGCCAAATTTAGGTGGGCAAATTTGAGAGAGGGCAATTTAGGATAGGGAACCAAATTTAAAGAGATAGGATCCAAATTTAGAGAGGTAGGGATTATTACATTATTGCAGATAACAGAGGGATTTTTGTTTAGTTAAAGTTTTTAGGTCTCTTCATTCTTCTCTTTGGTGGCTTGATCTTTAGCTTCATCGTCGGGTTGCTCGAGAAATTTCTTCATCGGTTTTATTTTGCAACTGGGACTTTACAGATGGACTAAATGTGAATAATGCTGATAAAACTTGAATAAACTGGCATAAAGCACAACAAAAACAACAAAAACTGGCCTAAAGCAACAAAATTTATAAAGTATTCGATAGCTTGATTGATCTAGCATTTATATGGAACAGCTTAATCCTAATCTATAATATTAGTTCAGCCCAGGCCCGTAGCCAAGTGGAGCAAAACGCATCATTTTTAAAAAGTCCCCTCCCCGAAATCCAACCTTTTTTGGAAGTAAAAGTTGTATTTTTCTTACTGGTTAGCCCTTTTCTTTCGAAATATTGCGTTTCTTTCTTCGAAAATTTGCATTTTTCTTTAAAAACGCGCATCTTTCTTCAAGAATTGCCATTTTTAAAATTTCCTTGTCCAAAAGGTACTTCTCGGCACTATATTTTCTCCAAAACCACTTTTTCTAAGGTAGTTTTTTGCGTAGATCATGAATTTCATAGTGGGAGGTTGCGAAAATGCGTTTTAGATCGACTCTTGGGGACCCGAAGTTACCGCCTCTACAGTGTACTTCACTAGGGGTTTGTATATGGAGAGTCCATCTAAGGCCTCGGGGAATTTTTTTTGTCAGCATGCAAAAACACTTTCTTTAGATGAATTGAATGGCCAAAACATGAAAATAGCAAAATTAGATCTTAAAAGCAAAATGAAAATTTCGAATTTTCCATGGTTTTTTTCACCCATGTGGGGGACCACATGAGTGAAAATTTCTATTTTAATTTTTAATTTTCAAATTTTCTACTCGAATTTGTTTAGAATTGCACGCAGGACTCTAAATTATGAACTTGTGAACAATCTTTCTGACCGAGAAGTCGCTCATCTTCAAATCGCGGGCCTTTTATCTCATTGATCTATTGGCATTGCGCTTGAGCCGCTTCCTGACGATTTCAACGTTTTTTTGAACCACAACCGTTGGTTTTGGTCCTCGTCCAGCTCGATCAATTATTTTTTCAGTTGTCTTGAGCAAGTTAACAGCTCCATTGGCATCCTTGGCAAAACAAAAACAACAATCCTTGGCGAAACTTCATTGGTCCATTGGCATCTTTGGCGAAACTTCATTGGTTCATTGGCATCCTTGGCGAAACTTCATTGGTTCATTGGCATCCTTGGCAGCTTCGTTGAAATCTCTTTTGTGCTCATCCCGGTAGGATGAAGATCGACGATTGATCCACGCTTCGGATGAGGAGTAACCTTTCTAAAAAATACAAAATTGAATAGTCTTTTTATAGAAAAGAATATTAATAACATTCAGGATAACAGAATAAAACAAAGAAAAGTACAGCGTAATAGGGCCATTAAATATATTTTAGACAGTGATAAGTAAGCGGTCAATAATTATCATGCACCCTGTAGAGACGGCGACTTCAAGCCTCTAAAAGTGGTCCAAAACGAATTTCCGCAAGCTCCCACTATGAAATTCGTGACCTACGCAAAAAACTAACCCAGAAAAAGTGATTTTGGGAAAGATATAGTGCCTGCCAGAAATACAGTGACTCCACAAGTACCCCATTTTTTTTGCCCGCTCCACGTAATTTTTTTCTGAACCTAGTTTTCTTGTGTACAATTGTCATTTATCATTTATTTATTATGCTTTATAGCCGAGTCAAAAGCTGGCAAACTATCATTAAACAATAAAAGCAGGCAAACTGGAAAGAAAACTGGAAAAGCTGTTCTCTGAATGAGAAAATCCTGAATGAGAAAGAAAGGATCACCGACATCACTCCAGCCGCCTTTTCGTCACGTTTTCTCAAGCGTATTGATATTGCTAAAGTATTGATTCGATGAACTTCTTTTCTCCTACTAGATTTGCATTTATTTACTTTCTTCTGCTTTTCTTTATTTCTATTCGAGCAGTCAAATTGGATAGAATAGTTCCGCTTGGGAAACCCATTCGCCCACCGGGAAGAAATCCGGTAACTTTTTTAGATTTTAGCAAATCTCTTATAGTTTAGGATTCCCGCGAATATAGCCGGTTTTCATCCAATATTAATTGCAAAAACGATGTCGACGACGATGAAAGTGATGCTTTGTGATTTGATGAGAAGACAGAGAGGATTACCTGAACACAAGATTATTACGGGAAAACAGAGCAAGTAAGAAGATTGAGGTCTTATTTGCTTGACAATAGTTCTATTACTTTAAAAATTTCGATTGTAACGAGCTTTTGAATAGCACTGATTTGACAAACTGCTTTTAAATCGATTAGGAACCAGCTTACAGTAGGTCCAGCGCTCTATCTGGAAGGCTGAGCAAGACTTTGTTCAATTAAAAGCTTGAAATATAGCTTACAAGTCGTATTCTGACAAGGGAAAGGCAAGATCAAGCTGGCCTTTTGGCTCGAGACCAAGTCCATCTTATAGAGTCGGCCATGGGAATCTCGAATCCGTTTTTAGTTTTTGCAAAACGCTTCGCAACCGCGAGAAGGAATGCAAAAAGAAACAGAGAACAGAATTCTTTTCGTCGAGCGCACAAAACGACTTTTTAGCACCAAACTTTCTTTCAAATGACTAAAACTACCGTAACTCGCGTTAAGCCGTGCCCCCTTTTAAAAATAGACCTAAAAGTCCGATTCACCATAGCCAAAAAGGCCGATTCATCATAGCCAAAAACCCGTGAGCGCGAAATATCGGGCAGACGGACAGACAGATAGACAGATGGACAGACAGACGAACAAACAGACATACAGATAGACAGACAGACAGACAGACAGACAGACAGACAGACAGACAGACAGACAAGCAGACAGACAGATGGACTGACAGACGAACAGACGAACAGACAGATGGACAGACAGATAGACAGACGTACAGGCGGGCAGACAGACGTACAGATAGACGGACAGACGGACAGACGGGCAGACAGACAGACGGACGTCTCTTCTGCTTTATATATAGTAGATTTACAGTATTTGTTACGATAACAATTGGTATCGCAACACTCGTTCATCACGGCTACTTTGGAGAACTTCAGGCAATCCATCACTCATTGTTGTGAGAGACCCAATTGAAAGATTCATCTCGATTTATGGCTACATTTGCAAGTATGAGCCTGTTACTATTACGAAATCTCAATGTTTAGGAAAAAGAAGAAATCTTTCTGCCCACCGAGTATGAACATTCACAAATTTGCGAGATTTGTGTATCGAAAATTGCTGACTCGAGCAACTGGTGGAAGGATTGGAACGGATAAGATTATCGGGCATTCGCAGCCATCATTTTGGTAAGAAGTAGGAGGGAAAATGCACCAGAAGGACCGTGTTTCTATCTTGAGCACAAGGTCCGCGTTAAAGAATCATCAGAACAATTTGTTAGCTTAGCTTAGATTAGCTTTCAGTTCAGTCAAACGAAAAGTTTTAAGATATGAGTCATTTACAGGTTTGCTTATGAACGAGGCAGATCTTTACCCAGAAATATCGACGTTCTCTATCAATCATCGAATCCACAAGCAAACGCAGCTAGATTGTTCAAAATTTTGGTGAAAAGAAAAGTACCAAGAGGAATCGCAAAGAAGGTAATTAGAGAAATTGAGTTATTCACGCCGCACATCGGCGCGAAATAAGGCAAAAATGCGTTTTCTATAGGATTTTTTTCTGGGAGTGCCTTTTTTAGATGCGGAAAATTGTGCTGATTCCGAATCTGAAGGAATTTTCCAAATCCCTCTGACAGAAATTTTTTAAATTGAGGTTTAGCAGTTTTTTGGTCATTTTGTATGGGAAATTTTGTGGTACCCTGCAATTTGGAGCTCGTAACTCGACAATCAGGGTCTAGAACAAAAAACGAGGGAATAAGTTTTATTCTAGAGATTCTTACGAACATTTTGATGCCAAAATCATAAAATTTGCTCAACTCTACAAAAAGTTATAACATCTTTTTGGCGAACTTGCAGCTCATTTTTAAGCACCTTAAACTTGTCAGATCAGAAAGTTTAAATAAGATTTAAATAGCTTAGCGTCAACCTAACTCAAATCGTAACTTGTAACAGTATGGGGTTGTTGGTTCGGCTCTCCCGTGCACTTGGGCTATTATTTTGCATATGCCTTAATTGTTTTGAGTGAATACGATACATAGCTACATTTTTCTTTTAAACAAAACAATTGTGCAATAGAAAATTTTTTAAATTTTTTCATTTCTTTTTTAAAAAATGTTATAACTTTTTGTAGAGCTGAGCAAATTTGATGTTTTTTGTATGAAAATGTTCGTGAGAGTCTCTAGAATAAAACTTATCCCCTCATTTTGGGTTCTAGACCCTCGTTATCGAGTTACGAGCTCCAAACTGCAGGGTACCACAAAATTTCCCATACAAAATGCCCAAAAAACCGCTAAACCTAAATTTAAAACATTTCTGTCAGAGGGATTTGAAAAATTCCTTCAGATTCGGAATCAGCACAATTTTCCGCATCTAAAAAAGGTACTCCCAGAAAAATTCTATAGAAAACGCATTTTCGCGCCGATGTGCGCCGGCATGACCGATTGGCTTGATTGGCGATTGGCCGATTGAGCCCTGTATCTCAGTCGGGCGACCAAGAGTTCAATCCCATCGGCTAGATTATTGGTTCTTTTTTTTACACATACCGTATTCTCTCTAATAGTATTGCGCCATCTGAGCACTCAATACGATTAGAGAGTGAAATCTTTTAGAGAGTTTTAGCATCTTACCTCATCTTACCAAAATAAATTTCAAATAAAAAAGATCTAGCATATCTCGACAATAGTACGTTTGTTTTTGCGCGCTTGGCTATCAAATTAAAGTAGAGAGGATGGGTGATTTTTTAAGATAAAACACAGATTTTTAACCTTAACCAGAAAAAATAAAAAAATGATTGAAAAATGATGAAAAATCGGCTTTTTTTGCCAATTTTGAATCATTTTTTCTAAGCACTGGTTAATGTTAAAAATATTTGTTATATCTCAAAAAATCACTCATCCTCTCTATTTTAATTTGATACTTAAGCGCGCAGAAGCTAACGTACTGGTGCTGAGATATGAGCGCTTGTTTCAGTGTAAACTTAGACTACACGACACTCCTATAGAGTATTAGAATTTCTATTAGAAGCTCCTTCTATTAGAATATTTACGGTAGTTGCAAAATAGTTATGATTCTCGACTCGGCTGGCTCGAGTCACAAGTCGATTCGAGTCGTCAAGGGCCTCTGACTCGACTCGACCCGGCTCGCGGAGGATTTAGGTACAAGATTTAGTCCCTTGTACCACTGTACCACTGTACCACTGTACCACTGTACCACTGTACCACTGTACCACTGTACCACTGTACCACTGTACCACTGTACCACTGTGCCACTGTACCACTGTGCCACTGTACCACTGTGCCACTATACCACTGTGCCACTGTACCACTGTGCCACTGTTCAACTCGGATTCAAGATTTAGTCTTTTGTCAATGTTGCGGAGCAATACTATTAAGGAGAATATGATATATGGGGTTTTTTTTCTTCCCTACATTTAGAGCTTAGGGATTGAGTGCTAGGAGTTGTGTTTGTGTATTCTTTGTACCACATTGTTTGTGTGAATAAATAAAATTATTCTTCCATTATTTTCAGGTAACCAGCTGGGTATCGGACTCACGAATCAACTCAAGGCGCAAACCGAGTGACCGAATGCTATCACGAACTTGGGAAAATGAGGTGGAGCTTAAAGTTGTATCATTTTCTGAATGAGAGCTTTGAATAAAAGCTTGAAATGAAAGCTTAATGAAAGCTTTGAATGAAGAACAGTTTCAGATCTACTCTAACAAGGAGACCCTGCTGACAGTGCTTAGAACCTACTACAATGATTATCGACTCCTGAAAATAGAACTACCATTAAAACTCCAAAGAGCCATTAAAAGATACAGAATCCAACTGCCACACAAATTGAAGAGAATCTCCGGAAATCGTTTTATTTTGCAGGTTTATCAGCGTTGTCAATTCATTTCAATTCGTCAATTCTTTTCAGGATAACTGTTATACAACTCACATCAAAACAAGAGACGAAAGATTGTTACCAAAGAAAATTTGTTAAAATCTTGTAAATAAAGTTTTATTTATTAGATTTTGGCTCTTGGTCATTGTACGGTTCGGAAAGCTCACATGATTTCAATCGAAAAGGGTGACGCTGTCGAAACGGGAACAAAGACGAAAGCAATCTTTCTTGAAAGGCTCAAAACCTAACCAACCAAAATTCAATTTATTAGCTAAATATGAAAGATCTATTCTTATTGATAATTTTCCCAAGTCTGTTCATCGATCAGGGAACCTTGGTGAATTGGCAAAGGTAATAAATAAGTTGTAACTAATACTAAATCAAGCAAAACACACCTGAATTGCCACTGTACCACTGCAAACACGTACTCGTGTTCTCCTAACAGTAAATTCCAATTGCTTTAGAACTTTAGTCCCGAACCTACTTTGGATTGCTTTGCTGGCATTTGCAGAAGACATTTGCTTAAAGGATAAGGATTAATAAGGATAAGGATGGGATTGAATAAAAGAATAAAAGATAAAGGATTGAATAAAAAGTATCGAATACGAGTGTATTCTTTTACATAATAAAGCTAAAAATATTTATTTCTTCCTATTTCTGTACAATGATCTTTCATTTCTGTTAGATTATCCAGAACAGAATCCACAAGTGACAGGGCATTGAACAACCATCACAGAGTAATAGACCGAGCTTGAACACAAATATGAGAGACGAGTACAATCAGAGACTCCAGTTGATGGGTTCACCAAATCGACACAAGCTGAAAGTTCAGTTTTGTTTCAGTAACAGACAAGTAACAGACTGTTTCGAATCAACTTACTGGAATTGGTGGATGTCGATGAAGAAGTGCAATATCCACATGTTTTTCGGCATTGTTTCTTCATGAATGTCACATAATAGCGTCTGAAAGCGATAGCTCATTAGTGGAAGTTGATCTTTCTCAGTTAAAGCTATCTTTAATCAAGCTTCTCACCGACCTTGTACAATATCCAATAGCAGCTCGAGCCGCACAATCAGAGACACCTGTCGCAGCATTCGTTAAGTCAACACAAGCTGGAGTTGTAGTTGTAGAAGTTGAAGTGTTCGATACAACAGAAGCAAGAGGACAGCATTGAAGAGATCCATCGGCGAATGTGGCACAAATAGCCGTTGTACCGCATGCAGATCCATCAACTGCCGTGGGACAAGCTAAAGAATGTTTGGGTTATTTGTCGAAAGAAAACAACTCACGTCCAGTAGCTACTGTGGTAGTTGCACAAGATGTTGAACGGACAACTTGAATGAAGACAAGGAGAAGAGTTGATTTGAGGAGAAAACACATATTGTTTTGAATGACTGAGCTGGATTCGATGCTTTCACAAAGTCTCTTAGTCCTTTTATATCAATCGGAAACATTTCTAGACAATGAATTCAACTTTATCTGATCTGAATAAACAATTAAAAGAATTCTAAAGGGCGTGGAAAACTGAAATCAAAACTTGCCGTTAAAGTAAATATTTTGGAACCACAAGACAATGAAATCAGACTTTTTCATGTCAAATTTTTGCTATTCATTGTTCTCTTTTGACACACGCGCAGCTGAATAAATGTCACTCGGTAATTCCTCATCGAAAATGATGCTGATTTTGAAAATAGCTGAAAATAGATATCTTTATTAGAATTCTTTTCGTTCCTCATTTTCCGACTGTGCAATAGCCACAAGCGAGCGGACATTGTTGCCTCATCAGAGTGACGTAGTACTGAAAGTTTTATTGGAGCTATAGTTTTTTACTGAAGCTATAGACTTTACTCAGTCTTCTACTCAACTCTGATCAAAGTCTTGTCTCTAAAATTTCATGCTTACAAGGGAGATTTCGACACCAAAATGCCAAAAAAACTAAAGTTTAAAAGTTTTATAAACCTTGAAATATATAAAGTACAATCTTGAAAGAAAAAACAATTCAAATTCAAACAATTCACTGGCCGCCACCGCACCAGGGTCAGAAGAACTGGAGACAAGGACTCTGACTCTGCGGACTCTGACAAAGACAAGGACAACGGCCACGAGCAGACTTTTCTCTTGCCCAAAAAAGTCCTTTTATAGAAGCGTGCCTCGTTTTCGAGATGCGGAAATTTCAATACCGTTTTTCTCGAAAACTAGCAATCCTTAACAAAATCCGAAAACACCATTGTATTGGGTTGGTGAATTGAAAACTGCGGGCTATTGTCATATGTCACAGTTTGAGCACTTTCTTCAAAAGAAACCCATTTTGGTGTCAATGGAAAAGTTGTAGAGAATCAAAAATCAAGCTTATATCCAAATTTTCAGAACGATTCAAAAACTGGTTTTCAAGAAATGCCAAATTTACGAATTTTCACAAAACTTGCATTTTAAGCGAAACTACTAAGTGTATCTTTTTGGAAATTTGGCTATAAGCCTAATTTTTGATTCTCTACGACTTTTCTATTGACACCAAAATGGGTTTCTTTTGAAGAAAGTGCTCAAACTGGGAGTCCAGTCCTCCATTCTCAATGCCCATTCCTCCCTTTTTGAGCCTCACACTTGTCTCACACACAAACCAAAATCCTACTACGAAAGAGGAATCCACAAATCGCCTGTAAAATGGGCAGAAGTCGTCAATAATAATGGGAATTATTTGGAATCAATTCATGGTTTTATGTTGAATAAATATTAGTTCAAAGTCCGGTAGTTTTCAATTCACCAACCCAATACTCGCCGTATTCGATAGATGTTTGAATCTCATTTTAGTGCCGAAATCTCATGATCACTTCTGACCTTTCCCTTGTTAGATCTCTTTCTATCGAAATGTTGATTTGACACCACTCACCGAATTAGTGCAATACCCAGTAGCAGCACGGGATGGACAATCGGTGCCTAGATTGTAGCAAGTTGTTGAGGAGCTGATCACTGAGGAAGAGGCTGTGCAAAAACCGCATGTCCTTGGGCATTGCACAAGCATCACTTGGTAGTATTGCTAAAATAATGCCACTGATTTAACGTTTCTGATCGTTTACCGAATTTGAGCACAAATAGGATTTCGTTGAGCACTCGGAAACACCAGTTGATGGGTTGACAAGATCGACACAAGAGGTGCTGGTTGAGATGGAGCCTGTAATCAAGTAATTTGGATTCTAATGCATTTTTGAAAATTCCCATTTTTTAGGTTAGTGAATAAGTCTTTTCGTTCCTTTTCATCTTTTTCGCTAAAAAATGACAAGTTCAGCAAAGAACCTATGGTTTTCTCTGAATAAAAAGTGTTTATTGTTCAATTTCCCATCTTTTTAAGTCAATTTAGATTCACTTTCAAGCAAAATCGAGAGTGAAAACACGTGTTTTTCGTAAAATTCTAGAAAAACCTCTACAAAGAAATTGGCTACCCAATTTCTTAAAGGCTTGCTACTATTAGGTTGTTAACTAAATAACCGAACCTTTTCACTAAAAATTGGTGTTACAATGAATGCACCAAATGAAGTATGGTTTGCATTATTGGAAAGATCTATATTTTCTCTGCAAAATGGTTGTCAGCCATTTAGAAAATCTTTCGTTTTTCGGGTTTTTCGGAAGCGCAAAGGCGAGTAGGCAGAATTGACGAGAATCGACGGTTGGCAACTTTTCTGATGGGAACTGACACTAACTTTCTATTTGCCAAAGAGGCCAAAGAGAGATCAATGTCAGAAAGAGATCAATGCTAAAGAGAGATCAATGCCAAAAAGAAATCAATGCCAAAGAGGCCCAAGAGAGATCATGCTAAAGATCAATCAATGCCAAAGATCAATGCCAACTTTTCTATGCCAAAGAAAGATCAATCTCTGTTACATTTTTAGTAAAATTTCCAGTAAAGTCCATCCAGCCGTTTTCTACAAATTTCAAGTTATTCAGAGCGCCTCAAATGATCAAAATCCTTCATTTGAGGAATTTTGTTCAAACCAAAACTCAGAAAAACGGATTTGTTTGAAAATTTAACTGATTTTTACTGAAATTTTACGAAAAATATAGAAAATCTATGGGTTTATTTAAAAAATGAATGAATTTTAAAAAGTGAAAAGAAATTCTTGCTAAAAACTAAAAAGTTAAACCATTAACTTACTACTCAAACCACAGAAACCGCAGCTGACCGGACATTGTTGTGTCATTAGAGTGTAATAGGCAGAATTTGTGCAGTAAGCCGTTTGTCCGGAACACGTCGAGACACCCGTTGATGGGTCGGTAAGATCTCGACAAGCAACTAAAATTATTGGCTATTGAATAGGTTTTGAGTGTCATTTGAGTGTGATTAGCCTATTTTTGAGTGTCATTAGTTTATTTTTGAGTGTCATTAGCCTATTTTTAGTGTCATGAGCCTATTTTTGAGTGTCATTAGTCTATTTTTGAGTATCATTAGCCTATTTTGAGTGTCATTAACCTATTTTTGAGTGTGATTAGCCTATTTTTGAGTGTGATTAGCCTATTTTTAGTGTCATTAGCCTTTCGGAGAACTTACGGCTAGCAGTCGGACAGCAGACTTTGTTCTTCGAATCTCTGTAAACGCATGTTCCTGTCGAACAGACTCCAGTGGCCGTGCAAGCTGAATATTTGATGAGATTTCATACCATTTCCTTTGTTATAAGTTGTTTCAAAGTTTTTATAGTTTCAAAGTTTCATTATAGAGTTGGATTGGATTCAAAAGTACTTACAAACTCCCGTTGTTAGGCAATAATTGTACAATCCGGCAACAGTGTTGCAAAAAGCGAGAAGCAAGAAGAATTTCATATTTTAAGTGATGCTGTTTCAATGTACTCAACGACTTCTTATATGTGGTCAAGCTTTCGATTTGAAATGTTTGTGTTAGCTATCCGGGCATAGGCTACATCAGTTCTCATTTCCAGCTATTCCAACAATTCCCCTCGGAAATCTTTCCGTTTCTCGTTCAAATCGTCAACTTTGAAGCCATTCTCACGTCATTTCTTGCAAAATGAGGAATAAAAATGGAATTTGATTTCATAGATCTCGACCAGAGCTCATTCTGGTTTTATATAAAATGGAATAGTGGCAGAAAACTCTCATGTAGGCTATTTGTTCCATTTTGCTGGTATTGTCAAATGCTAAAAAATCTAATCTAAAGAAATTTAAAGAATAAACGAATTATCATAAATCTTTCAACCAAACATAAAGTTATAATCTGTTAATTTACTTTTATTTAGAGCTCTGATTGAAAACTTTTTTTGCAAATAGCAGCAGAATTGAATCTTTTCACTCCCACAATTCCAAACAAAGATTTTAGCTTCTGAAAACACCAAAAACATTGTCAAGCTTGTACTGATAATTGTAGTTAAAGAAAAAGATTTCATACCAATCAAATAAAGCGAAACCTAACAATCTTAATTAATATTCAGTTGGAACTAGAGCAGATCAAAAACTCGTGCGCTTCGAAACTCGAACCGGGACTCAAACCGGGACTTGAACCCGGACTTGAACCGGGACTTAAACCGGGACACGAACCGGGACTCAAACCGGGACTCGAAACCGGGACTCGAACCGGGACTCAAACCTTTCGCTTACCGGGCAACTGTGCAAACCATTACACCACAACACACTTGACCGGCCTTATTCCAGAGGGAGTTAACTATTCTTTAGCACTCTGTTTGAAAGCCTTTGTTAGAGAGAAGTGAGAGAATCGCGTTTGAATCCACTCCAAAACTCGAAGAATGTCGAAACAATATCTTAAAACCAAAACCATAGTAATATTTACAAAAATGCAAATTCTTTATTAAATTAATACTGTAATTATTAGTGACTTATTTCCCGGAACAATAGCCGCAAGAGAAGGGGCATTGTTGTCGCATGAGAGTGGCGTAGGCCTGAAGATTTACATGTTGAAAAACTATTGTAAGATTTATATTACCGATTGGGTACAGTATCCAGCCAACGCACGGGCAGGGCAATCAGAGGTTCCAGTTGAAGGATTGATTTGATCAACACAGGTTGTGCACAATTTACAAGTTGCTGGGCATTGTTGGGTTATCAATGTGCGATAAGCCTGGAAAGGCTTTGGTTTAGTTTTGCACTGATTGTGGCTGTGGTCATTTGCTGCTTAAGTAGCTGGGTTGAATTCTTGTAAGTTCGAATTTGAGTTCTTACAAGGAAAAGGCAGATTTTTTGACTCGAGACCAAGTTATAGACTCGGCCATGGGATTTTGAATCCGTTTTTAGTTTTTGCAGAACGCGAGATATCTAGATTTCGGACTTGAGATGCAAAAACTAAAAACGGATTTAAGAGCCTTATTAGAAGACCAGCTTAGCCTTTTCCTTGTTTAAAGATTCTACCGAGTTCGTGCACAAGGCCACTTTCGAGCTGCAATCCGAGACCCCGGTGCTGGAACTTTTCAAATCGGCACAGCCCACTAAACAAAACAATTTGTTCTCAAAAACAAAAACAATTAAAGATCTAAACTCACAGTTTGCTGCCGAACAACAGACTTTGTTTACCGAGTCACGGTAAGCACAAGTGAGCCCGCTGGCGCAAGTGTTGGTGGCAGTGCCTAAAAGAGTTGTTTTTCTGTTGTTTTTCTGCACAATATGTAAAGCCTCAACCTTTAAGCCATTAAATAGTATTATAAAAAGAGATTTTAATCCAGAAAAATGCGACAAAGATACAAAAAACGGTTAAGTCTTGCTCCGGTTCCACGTTTACTCTTATATTCTAGTCATAGTGCAAAAAAAACAAACAGTTTCATTTGATTGACTCAATTTTGACTATTACATCAAATTCCAGATCATGAAGATTCAAAACTAATCACTTTTGAGAAACTAATCACTTACATGAGGTTCCACTCACTGTGCAATAATTGGTCAAAGCTGAAGCCTGAACTATGAGAGCGGCAACGACAATAAACCCAAGCATTGTAACTTTTATGACCTTCGAAATAAAGCAACTTTTTAGCAATTTATATAAATGCTTTTTATTGATTCACGCACAAAAAGTTCACGCCAGACTGTCAAGCGACCATTATTTTGGCTAAAGTCACAGCTAGGACAACAACTTTGCCCACTCGTGGCATTCCATTCAGAAAAACTTGGGGTTTTTCACAACGGAACTTCAGAAAAACTAATATTTGAATCTGAAATCTGAAAAATCAATCTGAAAAGCGATCTGAAAAACGAGACAACTTTCCCCGCCAGGAACATTTCCGGTTCATTTCTTTAAGAAAGTTTTCCTCTCATTTCCCCCTAGATGATGGTGCGCTGGAAAGGTTTCCCTCTGCAATTTACCCGTGGGAAACGTTTCCCGTTTGTTGATGGTTCAGGCTCTGGTTACAACTCTTTCTAGGAATTGTAAGCATAAACAAGACAGTTCAAAGTCACATCTACTATTTTCTGGCGATCAACAATTTGATGTCTGTTTTAAGTGATCATGCTTTTTGTGTCTTTTTTTACTTGATTTTTAAGCACAAAGTGTGTGTCTCGAAATGGAAAGAGTGAACAGCTGAAACAACATCACAAAGTTGTGAGCATTCCTTAAAGAGATGTTGTGAAATCACGGAACACTTTAATAAAGCTCAAAGCTCATCAAATTTGAGAAAACAATGATAAGATGATCTACAAGCAGATTTTATTTCAGATTTTAGATTCAAATTCAAGCATTCTTTTCACCATTTGGCTAGAGTTCTTCTAAGCATGGCAAGCAAAATTAACTGCTTGAAAGCTACAGATATTTTGTTGCATTAAAAATGGAGAACCTTATCTTGTACTTCTTAAATATTGGGTTGGTGAATTGAAAACTGCGGGACTTTGAACTAAAATTTATTCAACATAAAACCATGAATTCATTTCAAATAATTTCCATTATTATTGACGACTTCTGCCCATTTTACAGGCAATTTGCGGATTCCTCTTTCGTAGTAGGATTTTGGTTTGTGTGTGAGACAAGTGTGAGACTCAAAAATGGAGGACTGCAGATGTCTCAGTTTGAGCGCCTTCTTCAAAAGAAACCTATTTTGGCGTCAATAGAAAAGTTGTAGAAAATCAAAAATTAGGCTGATAGCCAAATTTCCAAAAAGATACACTTAGTAGTTTACACAAAATGCAAGTTTTGTGAAAATTCGTAAATTTGGTATTTCTTGAAAACCAGTTTTTGAATAGTTCTGAAAATTTGGATATAAGCTTAATTTTTGATTCTCTACAACTTTTCCATTAACACCAAAGTGGGTTTCCTTTGGGGAAAGTGCTCAAACTGTGACATATGACAGTAGCCGGCAGTTTTCAATTCACCAACCCAATAAATCCAAATTTTATCTTTGAAAGAGCATTGATATTTGAAAGAATGAATTTGGAAAGTGAGGTATTCAAAAAAAGGTCGATTCGATGGTCAACAAACGAGAATTCTGCAAGAAAGGAATGCTTGTATAAAAAACTTTAAATAATGATATCAAACTGTATATAAGACAAGTTTTATGGCAGGAGAACACATTCAAATCAAAATTTCATTCGCTTCCATAGCCATGTGCCAATCTTTCTTCTTCGGACTCCTTCTTGCCACCATTACTCTGTTCCAGGTAAAAATAGTGACTAGCTAACAGTACACCAATAATAATTGAATCAATAATGACTTAAGCTTAAGAAATTCGCAATAAAGTGTTGATAGCCTTACAGTAACTGATTTAAAGCCAAAAAGGCTCACAACTTACTCTCCCGCAACAATTCTCCCAACAACAACATTGCCCAATGGTTATCGGACATTTGGTAAGCGCTCCCATTCGCCATTGGCAATCTGACTTTGAGCTCAAATATCTTGGTGTTGGGCTGTTTAATTTTAATATTCTTGGTATTATTGGATATGCCAATCTTTCTCTGTCGATTGGTATAAAACCTATTTAAATTGGACAACCCAACACCAAGATATTTATGCTCAAAGTTGGGTTGCTAATGGCAAAGGGGGTGGGGTGTGTATAAAAGGTCCGTCGCTCCGCCCTTTGCCATTGGCAATCCAACTTTGAGCTCAAATATCTTGGTGTTGGGCTGTTTAATTTAAATATTCTTTGCATCCTTGGATGCGCCAAGTCTTTCTCTGGACCTTTTTTACGCGTCCCTTTTATACGCGTATCAAATGTTCCATAATCTTACCCAAATGCCCAAACAGAGTTCAATCCGACTCTTTCACAAGTGCTGACTTTTTTCATTCTTGCCTTGGTCACAGCTTGATCATTTTTTTCGCATTGTTCCCTTCGAACTTCGAACATTTTTGTGGCATTGTTTCCAGAAAGCACTTGTCCAATTAAAAGTTTATGAATCGCTGTATAGGGTGTCCGATTTTCTTTAGATACCCGTTGCACAGTTAAGACAATTTTTTAAGGTATCTAGTAATAGGAAAGAGCCACTAAAAATACCAACAGCCTTACTCAGTCTACATCGACGTCAACTTTTAGGTCGTCGTCATGCAGATTTGCCCTCCCGTCAATCTGGCATCAATTGGACGTAAGTTGTTAAAGAAATTCTAACCAATAAAGTCCCATTTTACGTTTAAAACATTGTTTTAAACTTCTATTCTTACAATTACAGCTGCAATGGGAAATATCTGTCCAAGCGGCTACTCCTGCTGGAATTTGGATAACCGGGACACCTGCTTTCGCTTCTAAATGAAGTCGATATAATTTGTTAGCCATGACTTTTATCTATTAATAATATTGTGATCTGTTACTATAGTAGGATTGAATTTATCCTGTTAACAATTATTTTTCACTTTCAATCATCAAGATAACAAGAATCAACAATTAGAATATTTAATAAACAATCCTCGATTCAGCAGTTTTTGTATGAGAAACAATCAAGACAAAACCTTTTCTTAAAATATTTCAATTAATATCAGATGCAAATGTTTGACAGTTTAGACTAAAGCTAAACGATCAAAAAGCTTGTCCTATTCCAATCCCTCCTATTTCAATCCCTCCTCTTCCAAACCTAAAAAACCTAACCCAGACCTTTAACAAATTCACGACGATGGCATTTTGTCTCGTAGTCGTAACTGTTTTACTAATAATTTAGTGAAAATTCAAAGATAAACAAAACCATTATAGTCATTCGATAACCGTGAATCTCCTCTTGAAAACTGGTACAAAGTTACCGAGTTACAAAGTTACCGAGTTACAAAGTTACCGAGTTACAAAGTTACCAAAAGCTTTCTGTGAAATAAATAACAAAAGCTCTTAAAAACTTGAGTTGTCATGAAAAATAATCGTCATTAGTATGGTCCACCGGTGGGCCGTATCGTTGTGAATGTGTAAAAAGCTCTCACAGATCACCATAAAGCAACATTTCTGAGCAAGGTACATTTCATTGGCCTGAATTCCCCATTTGTCGATCAAATGAAGAGGTATTGCTGAACAAACACATTACATTTGAGATATAATGTCAAATGGAACGTAGCATTTCATTTGAAAATGTAGCATTCCATTCGAGAGACCTCGAAAATCGAATGCCACTATATAAGGATATAATTTGGATCGTGAATCTGCGAAGCTATCGTAATCAGTGCCAGTTTTTGTTCAGGTAGTTGATGATAAGTTGACTAACTAGGTTTTAAGTCCTCAAATCAGGGCTGTACTTTGAAAATAGAGTTTCTTGACTTGCAAAGCCTCTTTTTGAGTTTTGGAAGAAATTTCACACTGTACTAATCTTTAATAACCGATCTAGAAACATATCAAGAAACATTGCTCATGAAAGATATGTAAAATACATAATGGAATGTTTAAAAATACTATATATTGGGTTGGTGAATTGAAAACTGCGGGCTATTGTCATATGTGACCGTTTGAGCACTTTCTTCAAAAGAAACCCATTTGAGAAAGTTGTAGAGAACCAAAAAAGCTTACCAAATTTTCAGAACGATCAAAACGATTTCAAGAAATGCCAAATTACGAATTTCACAAAACTTGCATTAAGCGAAACACGTGTACTTTGGAAATTGGCAAAGCCAATTTTGATCTCTACACGATGCCACAAGGGTTTCTTTTGAAGAAAGTCATGCTCAACGGGCACTCCAGTCCTCCATTTGGAACTCACACTTGTCTCACACACAAACCAAAACCACGCGAAAGAGGAACCGCAAATTGCCGAAAATGGGCAAGTGTCAATAAAATGGAAATATTGAATGAAGATGGTTTAGTTGAAAAATTTTAGTTCAAAGTCCCGCAGTTTTCAACTCACCAACCCAATTGAAACGCGTTTCTGTTGTATCCGATTTGAATTGAAGCATTATTGCACAGGATGGTATCATGTTTTTAATAATTTTCTAGAAATTTCATAGAAGTTTAACTCTGGCAACCTAGAACAGCCCGTTAGCACCACATTTTGCCGAAAAAAGGCTTTCTTGCATTTTACTGTGAATTCAAAGCAACTCCCTCCCAGTTTTTTTATTTAATCAACGGCAACTTTACCGTAAATTCAAAGAATCTTAAACAATAAAATAACTGGTTAAATAGGCAAATTGATGAAAGTACTTAATCAAACGATAAAATAATGTAACTAAACAAAAACAAAGAAAAAACCTATCTGTTCTTGCAACTAAGGTAGAAGCGGGACTCCATCTGTAAAAAAACAATGGAAAATAGATGTAAACATCATAAAAACATAAATAGAACGCAAAAACATATCAAAACGAGTAAATAAACTATTCTTTGCCAGAGTTAAACTTCTATGAAATTTCTAGAAAATGATTAAAAGTATTTAAAAAACAGAATATCCTACTTGCAAGAATGTTTCAATCCAAATCAGATATCTGATTTGAATTCATTCCAAATCGGATACAACATATCTAAACAATGAATAAAATATAATCCGTGCGCATAAAATGAACCTAAATATTGCTTGTTTAGACTCGAGTCGAGTTTACAAATCTTTTGATTGTTG